CAGAGCTGGGCTTTACGGAAGAGTGGCCAGAAAAAAGCCATTGCTTAAAGAAAAGAATAAGCAAACACGTTTGGTGTTCGCCAAAAGCCATGTGGGAGACTCCCCAAACATATGGAAGAAAGTACTCTGTCAGATGAGACAAAAATTGAGCTTTTTGGCCATCAAGGAAAACGCTATGTCTGGCGCAAACCCAACACCTCTCATCACCCTGAGAACACCATCCCCACAGTGAAGCATGGTGTTGGCAGCATCATGCTGTGGGGATGTTTATCATCGGCAGTGACTGGGAAACTGGTCAGAATTGAAGGAATGATGGATGGCACTAAATACAGGGAAATTATTGAGGGAAACCTGGTTCATTCTTCCAGAGATTTGAGACTGGGACGGCGGTTCACCTTCCAGCAGGACAATGACCCTAAGCATACTGCTAAAGCAACACTCGAGTGGTTTAAGGGGAAACATTTAAATGTCTTGGAATGTCAATCCAATTGAGAATCTGTGGTATGACTTAAAGATTGCTGTACACCAGCAGAACCCATCCAACTTGAAGGAGCTGGAGCAGTTTTGCCTTGAAGAATGGGCAAAAATCCCAGTGGCTAGACGTGCCAAGCTTATAGAGACATACCCCAAGAGACTTGCAGCCGTAATTGCTGTAAAAGGTGGCTCTATAAAGTATTGACTTTGCCCCCCAATAGTTATGCACGCTCAAGTTTTCAGTTTATTTGTCTTATTTCTTGTTTGTTTCACAATTTATTTTTATTTTTGCATCTACAAAGCGGTAGGCATGTTGTGTAAATCAAATGATACAACCCCCCCCCCAAAATCAATTTTAATTCCAGATTGTAAGGCAACAAAATAGGAAAAATGCCAAGTGGGGTGAATACTTTCGCAAGCCACTGTAAGAATGCTGTTCATTGACTATAGCTCAGCATTCAACACCATAGTACCCTCCAAGCTCATCATTAAGCTCGAGGCCCTGGGTCTGAACACTGCCCTGTGCGACTGGGTCCTGGACTTCCTGACGGGCCGCCCCCAGGTGGTGAGGGTAGGAAACAACACTTCCACTTTGCTGATCCTCAACACTGGGGCCCCACAAGGGTGCGTGCACAGCCCCCTCCTGTACTCCCTGTTCACCCATGACTGTGTGGCCAAGCACGACTCCAACTCAGTCATCAAGTTTGCAGACGACACACAGTAGTAGGCCTGATTACCAACAATGACGAGTCAGCCTACAGGGAGGAAGTGTGGGGTCTGGGAGTGTGGTGCCAGGAAAATAACCTCTCACTCAACGTCAACAAAATAAAGAAGATGATCGTGGACTTCAGGAACAGCAGAGGGAGCACCCCCCTATCCAAATCGACGGGACCGCAGTGGAGAAGGTGGAAAGCTTCAAGTTCCTCGGCGTACACATCACTGACATACTGAAATGGTCCACCCACACAGACAGTGTGGTGAAGAAGGCTGAAGAAATTTGGCTTGGCACCTAAAACCCTCAGAAACGTTTACAGATGCACAATTGAGAGCATCCTGTCGGGCTGTATCACCACCTGGTACGGCAACTGCACCGCCCGCAACCGCAGGGCTCTCCAGAGGGTGGTGCGGTCTGCGCAACGCATCACCGGGGGCAAAGTACCAGCCCTCCAGGACACCTACAGCACCCGATGTCACAGGAAGGCCAAAAAGATCATCAAGGACCATAACCACCCGAGCCACTGCCTGTTCACCCCGCTATCATCCAGAAGGCGAGGTCAGTTCAGGTGCATCAAAGCTGGGACCGAGAGACTGAAAAACAGCTTCTATCTCAAGGCCATCAGACTGTTAAATAGCCTTCACTAGCACATTAGAGGCTGCTGCCTATAGACATATATTAGAAATCACTGGCCACTTTAATAAGTGGAACACTAGTCACTTTAATAATGTTTACATATCTTGCATTACTCATCTCATATGCATATACTGTATTCTATACTATTCTACTGTATCTTAGTCTATGCCGCTCTGACATTGCTTGTCCATATATTTATTTATATATTCTTAATTCCGTTGCTTTACTTAGATTTGTGTGTATTGGGTATATGTTGTGAAATTGTTCGATATTACTCGTTAGATATTACTCGGAGCTAGAAACACAAGCATTTCGCTACACCCGCAATAACATCTGCTAAACAAGTGTATGTGACCAATAAAATTTGATTTTGATTTGATTTTAAATTGCACTCTATCCCCTATAGTGCAGTATAGTGCAGTATATAGGGAATAAGGTACCATTTGGGACAGGGCCACTGACCTGTGCGTCCAGTCCAGTCCGTCTCTCCACAGCAGCCCAGCCAGGCACTGACCTGTGCGTCCAGTCCAGTCCGTCTCTCCACAGCAGCCCAGCCAGGCAGTGACCTGTGCGTCCAGTCCAGTCCGTCTCTCCACAGCAGCCCAGCCAGGCAGTCACTTAGAAAGATCCTGTGAAAAGTAGAAGGGGGTCAAATATGTATACTGGCAGCACAGACAGGAAATACTAATTATATATAAACTAATACACAGTCACTCATCTACATGATCGTTTATACAGTGAGGGAAAAAAGTATTTGATCCCCTACATTTTGTATGTTTGCCCACTGACAAAGAAATTATCAGTCTATAATTTTAATGGTAGGTTTATTTGAACAGTGAGAGACAGAATAACAACAACAAAATCCAGAAAAACGCATGTCAAAAATGTTATAAATTGATTTGCATTTTAATGAGGGAAATAAGTATTTGACCCCCTCTCAATCAGAAAGATTTCTGGCTCCCAGGTGTCTTTTATACAGGTAACGAGCTGAGATTAGGAGCACACTCTTAAAGGGAGTGCTCCTAATCTCAGCTTGTTACCTGTATAAAAGACACCTGTCCACAGAAGCAATCAATCAATCAGATTCCAAACTCTCCACCATGGCCAAGACCAAAGAGCTCTCCAAGGATGTCAGGGACATGATTGTAGACCTACACAAGGCTGGAATGGGCTACAAGACCATCGCCAAGCAGCTTGGTGAGAAGGTGACAACAGTTGGTGCGATTATTCGCAAATGGAAGAAACACAAAATAACTGTCAATCTCCCTCGGCCTGGGGCTCCATGCAAGATCTCACCTCATGGAGTTGCAATGATCATGAGAACGGTGAGGAATCAGCCCTGAACTACACGGGAGGATCTTGTCAATGATCTCAAGGCAGCTGGGACCATAGTCACCAAGAAATCAATTGGTAACACACTACGCTGTGAAGGACTGAAATCCTGCAGCGCCCGCAAGGTCCCCCTGCTCAAGAAAGCACATATACAGGCCCGTCTGAAGTTTGCCAATGAACATCTGAATGATTCAGAGGAGAACTGGGTGAAAGTGTTGTGGTCAGATGAGACCAAAATGGAGCTATTTGGCATCAACTCAACTCGCCGTGTTTGGAGGAGGAGGAATGCTGCCTATGACCCCAATAACACCATCCCCACCGTCAAACATGGAGGTGGAAACATTATGCTTTGGGGGTGTTTATCTGCTAAGGGGACAGGACAACTTCACCGCATCAAAGGGACAATGGACGGGGCCATGTACTGTCAAATCTTGGGTGAGAACCTCCTTCCCTCAGCCAGGGCATTGAAAATGGGTCGTGGATGGGTATTCCAGCATGACAATGACCCAAAACACACAGCCAAGGCAACAAAGGAGTGGCACAAGAAGAAGCACATTAAGGTCCTGGAGTGGCCTAGCCAGTCTCCAGACATTAATCGCATAGAAAATCTGTGGAGGGAGCTGAAGGTTCGAGTTGCCAAATGTCAGCCTCGAAACCTTAATGACTTGGAGAAGATCTGCAAAGAGGAGTGGGACAAAATCCTTCCTGAGATGTGTGCAAACCTGGTGGCCAACTACAAGAAACGTCTGACCTCTGTGATTGCCAACAAGGGTTTTGCCACCAAGTACTAAGTCATGTTTTGCAGAGGGGTCAAATACTTATTTCTCTCATTAAAATGCAAATCAATTTATAACATTTTTGACATGCGTTTTTCTGGATTTTTTTGTTGTTATTCTGTCTCTCACTGTTCAAATAAACCTACCATTAAAATTATAGACTGATCATTTCTTTGTCTATGGGCAAAGGTACAAAATCAGCAGGGGATCAAATACTTTTTTCCCTCACTGTACCAGTATAACTGACACTGGTTGACTTCAACTCACTAAAGCACAATAGATATTACTTCTGCTTTTGTATTTTCTCCTCTAGTACCCAACGCTGTATCTGTACTGTATCTGTATCTGTACTTTATCTGTACTGTATCTGTATCTGTATCTGTATCTGTATCTGTATCTGTATCTGTTCTGCATCTGCATCTGCATCTGCATCTGTTCTGCATCTGCATCTGTTCTGCATCTGCATCTGCATCTGCATCTGTACTGTATCTGCACTGTATCTGTATCTGTATCTGTATCTGTACTGTATCTGTATCTGTATCTGTATCTGTATCTGTATCTGTATCTGTATATGTACTGTATCTGTATCTGTATCTGTATCTGTATCTGTATCTGTATCTGTATCTGTACTGTATCTGTACTGTATCTGTATCTGCATCTGCATCTGCATCTGCATCTGCATCTGCATCTGCATCTGCATCTGTATCTGTACTGTATCTGTATCTGTACTGTATCTGTACTGTATCTGTATCTGTACTGTATCTGTATCTGTATCTGTATCTGTATCTGTATCTGTATCTGTATCTGTACTGTATCTGTATCTGTACTGTATCTGTACTGTATCTGTACTGTATCTGTATCTGTATCTGTACTGTATCTGTATCTGCATCTGCATCTGTACTGTATCTGTATCTGTATCTGTATCTGTATCTGTATCTGTACTGTATCTGTATCTGTATCTGTATCTGTACTGTATCTGTATCTGTATCTGTATCTGTATCTGTATCTGCAGTGCAGCATCCCCTCCTATCCTCACGCCAGGCAATGCAGATGTATTTTGACGCAGAATGACACAGTAATAATCTCTCTGTCACCCTGCATTCATCTACACACCCCTCTGGTCTCTGTCTCTCTGTGGAGAGAAGAGAAGAGATGTTGTTTTCATATATCTGGTGCTGAAGCCTGGAGGCTGATTTAGTATGAATCTACTAAACTGACAGTAGAAAGATGGGGCATCCCAAATGACACCCTATTTCCTATATGGTGCACTACTTAGGACCAGGGTCTCTGCCAGGGGAACTCAAAGCCTGGACATCCAGAAAAGGGGCCTAGAACTCTTACTCGACTAGCGGAATGATAGGTTAGAAGGTTAAAAATAAGATAACAAGGAAATAACAGCTTTCAGACAACAAGGAAATAACAGCTTTGAGACAAGGAAATAACAGCTTTGAGACAACAAAAAATAAACAGCTCTGAGACAACAAGGAAATAACAGCTCTGAGACAACAAGGAAACAAAAGCTCTGAGACAACAAGGAAATAACAGCTTTGAAACAAGGAAATAACAGCTTTGAGACAACAAAGAAATAACAGCTCTGAGACAACAAGGAAATAACAGCTTTGGCTTTGAGACAACAAGGAAATAACAGCTTTGGCTTTGAGACAACAAAGAAATAACAGCTCTGAGACAACAAGGAAATGACAGCTCTGAGACAACAAGGAAACAACAGCTCTGAGACAACAAGGAAATAACAGCTCTGAGACAACAAGGAAATAACAGCTTTGAGACAACAAGGAAATAACAGCTTTGGCTTTGAGACAACAAAGAAATAACAGCTCTGAGCAGTGGCGGCTCCTGAAAAAATTCTCAGGAGGGGCAATTTTTCTGATGATTTAGGTGACCTACACACATTTTAAAAAAGATATGTCCAGCAACAACATGAAGACAGGGGCAGCATATAAGTAAATACCAGAAGCATTTATTGACTGATCTGGGGAGATGGATTCCAGTTTCTGTGACAGATTATAAATAATCTCTGATGCCTTTGTTATATTAGCTTTTGGTTGAATGTACTGTCGTAGTAAATATATAATGTTATAGCTTGGTCTGACTAAAATCTTGTGCATGACCCATTTTGTGTTGGGCGTTTGTTTTCAATCAATGCTGTTCCTATCCTATAACAATGGACAAAAGAGTCCTATCTTGTCAGCCTTGTCAGCAGGTGGCCAAGGACAACACCCACGCCATAGGTCTCTCAGTTCTTCCAACTCACGAGTTCTTGCTCTGAGGACACACACACACACACACACACACACACACACATCATCACTGATAACACACACACACACACACATCATCACTGTTAAACACACACACACACACACACAAAAATCCCCTCTCTTTAGGCTGAACATTTGAAGACAGAGAACCCGACTCAGAGCCAATGCAACAGTGGAGGGGACCTCGCCCAACTCATCAGGACCAATCAGAAGATCAGAACTACTAGATTCAACCTACATCATTTATTGTATAAAATGTCTGCACACAATGTTTTCGGGGCTCTCTTCTCCCTAAGAGTTTGACGAACGAGTCCGTGCACGCGATTCCAGATATCTTTACCTCTGAATAAACTGCCTTTATTATACCATATCCACCCTGTCCAAAGTCTCTACTTGGTCTCAGTTCTCCAGTAAACTTGTGATTATCAACAGTACACAACGGTAACAAACAATTGGGGGAACTCACGGGGCAGATAGTAAGGTCGCAATGACACAGAAAGCAGTTCAATGTCGGGGTACAGAGTCGCTCTCTTACCAGGATCGCGGTCCGCTCTGACCAGGGTGAAGCCGGCCGGCTCCACTTCTCTGTCCGGGACTCTGTCATCCAGCCAAGTCTCCCAGCTGTATTGGATTCCGCTGCCAGCAGCGTTTTCATTATTTAGTCCGTTCGTAGCGGGTATGTACACGATCAACAAGATCAGTCCAAAACCAACCACTGGAAATCCATGGTTGGCAGAATGTTTGTAAACTAAGTCTACAAATTAAAAACATAAAATAACGCCACACTGCAGGTCGCAACAGAGACGCTGCTAGCCGCTATTGTCTTAGTTACGTTCATGGTTACGTCACGTATGACGAAAGCGCGTAAGTGCAAGCCCACAGACACCCATAGAGAATGTATTGAAAGCTTTGAAATTTGAAAAAAATAGATTTTACATGACAGGCTATGAGAGACTTCTGGGCGATTTTCAACCTGACTGAAATCGCCCCAAAAACGGGCGGGGCCATTTGAAGCACAACTTTAGCCTGATTTGACATTTAGTGGCTGGCAGATCAGACGTGAACACTGATAACTACTGTTGCCGTGATATAATTGATTAGAAAAAAAATCCCTTCCTTTTCCCGTTTGGCAGTGCGTCGCCCATATCGCCCTATTGAACAGGCCGTCCCTGGCTCTGAGACAACAAGGAAATGACAGCTCTGAGACAACAAGGAAACAACAGCTCTGAGAGAACAAGGAAATAACAGCTTTGGGATAACATGGAAATAGCAGCTCTGAGACAACATGGAAATAGCAGCTTTGAGACAGCAAGGAAATAACAGCTTAGAGACTATGCTTAAGACCATGGCCTGTATCACTACATGTAATGGGGATAGAGGTCGATGCTTGATAGTAGACTGTAACTGTCAGTGACAACTCTTTCTCTCCATATCTCTCCATCTCTATCTCTTTCTCTCTCTCCATCTCTCTCTCTCCATCCAGCTGAGATACAGCACTGTCTGGTGAGTGCAGGAGACGTGGGCTGCGGTGTGTTTGAATGTTTTGAGAACAACTCCTGTGAGATCAGAGGCCTGCAGGAGATCTGTCTGACCTTCCTACACAACGCCGGAAAGTTTGACTCCCAGGTAAGGCACTCTGCATGTGTGTTTGTGTGTGTGTGTGTGTGTGTGTGTTTGTTTGTGTTTAAGTCTACATGTGTATGTGTGTACAAGTGGATTTATTGAGTGTGTTTGCATGCGTAGCCAACATGTGCATGCGGTATGTTTTTGCTACCCTAGTTCCCTTCCCTCTCCCACGGAGGTCAGGTCTCTGTGTGTCAGGGCAGAGGGCTCCAGGGCCAGGGGTAGCCAACTGGCACCATGCCCAGCCAGATCCCCTTTCAGACGGGTAGAACAGGCTCTGTCCCGGCCTCTCACTGGGCCATCAGACTGGGTCACAGAGAAATTAGTTCTAACCACCCTAGAACTAGAACACGTACAGTGCATTCGGAAAGTATTCGGACCCCTTCATTTTTTCCACATTTGGTTAAGGTACAGCCTTATTCTAAAATAAATAAAATAAAAACATTTCCTCATCAATCTACACACATTACCCTATAATGACAAAGTGAAAACAGGTTTTTAGATTTTTTTGCAAATTTATTAAAGATAAAAAACAGAAATATCTTATTTACATAAGTATTCAGACCCTCTGCTATGAGACTCAAAATTGAGTTCAGGTGCATCCTGTTTCCATTGATCATCCTTGAGATGTTTCTACAACTTGATTGGAGTCCACCTGTGTTCAATTCAATTGATTGGACATGATTTGGAAAGGCACACACCTGTCTATATAAGGGCCCACAGTTGACAGTGCATGTCAGAACAAAAACCAAGCCATGAGGTCGAAGGAATTGTCCGTAGAGCTCCGAGACAGTATTGTGTCGAGGCACAGATCTGGGGAAGGGTACAAAAACATTTCTGCAGCATTGAAGATCCCCAAGAACACAGTGATTCTTAAATGGAAGAAGTTTGGAACCACCAAAACTCTTCCTAGAGCTGCTAGCCCGGCCAAACTGAGCAATCGGGGGAGAAGGGCCTTGGTCAGGGAGGTGACCAAGAACCCAATGGTCACTCTGACAGAGCTCCAGAATTCCTCTGTGGAGATGGGAGAACCTTCCAGAAGGACAACCATCTCTGCAGCACTCCACCAATCAGGCCTTTATGCTAGAGTGGCCAGACGGAAGCCACTCCTCAGTAAAAGGCACATGACAGCCCGCTTGGAGTTTGCCAAAAGGCACCTAAAGGACTCTCAGACAATGAGAAACAAGATTATCTGGTCTGATGAAACCAAGATTGAACTCTATGGCCTGAATGCCAAGCGTCACATCTGGAGGAAACCTGGCACCATCACTACAGTAAAGCATGGTTTGGGGATGTTTTTCAGCAGCAGGGACTGGGAGACTAGTCAGGATCGAGGGAAAGATGAACGGAGCAAAGTAAAGAGAGATCCTTGATGAATTTCTGCTCCAGAGCGCTCAGGACCTCAGACTGGGGCGAAGGTTCACCTTCCAACAGGACAACGACCCTAAGCACACAGCCAAGACAACGCAGGAGTGGCTTCGGGACAAGTCTCTGAATGTCCTTGAGTGGCCCAGCCAGAGCCCGGACTTGAACCTGATCGAACATCTCTGAGAGAGCTGAAAATTGCTGTGCAGCGACGCTCCCCATCCAACCTGACAGAGCTTGAGAGGATCTGCAGAGAAGAATGGGAGAAACTCCCCAAATACAGGTGTGCCAAGCTTGTAGCGTCATACCCAAGAAGTTTCGAGGCTGTAATCGCTGCCAAAGGTGCTTCAACAAAGTACTGAGTAAAGGGTCTAAAAACGTATGTAAATGTAATATTTCCGTAATTTTTTTTGTACACATTTGCAAAATCTCCTAAAAACCAGTTTTTGTTTGTTATTATGGGGTATTGTGCGTATATTGTTGAGGGAAACAATGTTTTAATCCATTTTAGAATAAGGCTGTAACTTAACAAAATGTGGAAAAAGCCAAGGGTTCTGAATACTTTCCGAATGCACTCAGGTTTTTATTGGTTCAGCACAATCAACCAATCCAATAATCCCCAGCTTCCAATTGGTCCATTCAACCTCTCTCCTCTCCCTTGCAACTATTCCCCAGGTCGTTGCTGTAACAGATAATGTGTTCTCAGTCAATTTACCTTGTAAAAGAAAGGTAAAATACAATCATTAATGGTTTAGGGTTAGGGTTGAGTGTTCTATGTGTCTGTGTGTGTTTAGGGTAAGGGTTAGGGTTGAGTGTTCTATATGTCTGTGTGTGTTTAGGGTAAGGGTTAGGGTTGAGTGTTCTATGTGTCTGTGTGTGTTTAGGGTAAGGGTTAGGGTTGAGTGTTCTATATGTCTGTGTGTGTTTAGGGTAAGGGTTAGGGTTGAGTGTTCTATATCTACTGTGTGTGTTTAGGGTAAGGGTTAGGGTTGAGTGTTCTATATGTCTGTGTGTGTTTAGGGTAAGGGTTAGGGTTGAGTGTTCTATATCTACTGTGTGTGTTTAGGGTAAGGGTTAGGGTTAGGGCTGAATGTTCTATATCTACTGTGTGTGTTTAGGGTAAGGGTTAGGGTTGAGTGTTCTATATCTACTGTGCGTGTTTAGGGTAAGGGTTAGGGCTGAGTGTTCTATATGTCTGTGTGTGTTTAGGGTAAGGGTTAGGGTTGAGTGTTCTATATCTACTGTGTGTGTTTAGGGTAAGGGTTAGGGCTGAGTGTTCTATATCTACTGTGTGTGTTTAGGGTAAGGGTTAGGGTTGAGTGTTCTATATGTCTGTGTGTGTTTAGGGTAAGGGTTAGGGTTGAGTGTTCTATATGTCTGTGTGTGTTTAGGGTAAGGGTTAGGGCTGAGTGTTCTATATGTCTGTGTGTGTTTAGGGTAAGGGTTAGGGTTGAGTGTTCTATATGTCTGTGTGTGTTTAGGGTAAGGGTTAGGGTTGAGTGTTCTATATCTACTGTGTGTGTTTAGGGTAAGGGTTAGGGCTGAGTGTTCTATATGTCTGTGTGTGTTTAGGGTAAATCGTTCATCAAGGATGCTCTGAAGTGCATGGCCCATGGCCTGAGACACAAGTTCAGCTGCATCAGCAGGAAGTGCCTGGCCATTAAAGAGATGGTGTTCCAGCTGCAGAGAGAGTGCTACCTCAGACACAACCTGTGTTCTGCAGCCAAGGAGAACGTTGCTGTCATGGTGGAGATGATCCACTTCCAGGACCTCTTCCCTAAAGGGTGAGGATGGAGGCATTCATCAGTGTCTTGCTCTAGCTCTCTCCTTCTCTCCGTATCATCCCTTCTTCTCTTCCCTAAAGGGAGAGGAGGACCATGTCTCTCTTTCTCTCTGCCTTCCTCTACCTCTTTCTACTCTTCTCTCTCTTCCCCCATTAACTTACCTAGAAGGTAAACTACCCATATCAAGCTGTGGATGTCCAGCCCTATATTCATATAATAGTATAATAATCCCATGTTCTCTCTCTCTCTGTCTCTCTCTCTGCCTCTGCAGGCCATATGTGGAGCTGGTCAACATCCTACTGAGCTGTGGGGAGGAGGTGAAGGAGGCCTTAACCAGGAGTGTCCGGCTGCAGTGTGAGCAGAACTGGGGAGCTCTCTGTAACAGCCTGAGTGTCTGCTCTTCCCTCAACCCTCCTCCCGGCCAGGCCCCCGCCTCCCCCGACCACCGCCGCCACAGGTCCCCCCACTCCGAGCCAGACCACCCCAGATCCCCGCGACAGGGGGACAAGGACAAGCCCAGTAAAGGTGGCTTCAATGCCCACCCCCGCAGCCGCAGCCAGGGTCCCCGCCGACAGAGCCCCGAGGTTGGGGTGGTGGCGGAGCAGGAAGACCCTGAGGCCACAGACATCCGGAGGTGAAAGAGACATTGGACCCTAACTATCCTGATCCTTCCTGACCGTGTCACCATCGCAGCTGCCCCCCCCCCCCCCCCCCCCCCACCCCCCACCCCCCCCACCCCCCCTCCCCCCACACACAGACAGATACTGTACACGTAAAAACACACATACACAACCACACACATAAACAGACTCGCTCTCTCTCTTTCTCTTGCTCTGTCCGTCCTCCATCCCTCTCTCCCCCTCTCCTCTCCAGTCATTCCAGCAGTCCCAAATGGTACATCTGCAGGGTAACGTGGTGTAGCTCATTCAGTTACTCCAGATTGTAGTCCACCGATGTTGTTTCTGTTTATTATTGAATAATAATAAGTGTTATTATCATGATTATTATTTTAAGTGTTAGGACTTTTTTGGCTCTAATATAGCGTTTCTCAAATCGTACTCACTGTAAGATTTGAATATATTTGTATTATTTATTTTATTCTTTATGCAATGTTTAAATATCCAAATGTACATAGAAATATACTTATCTATATTTATACAGTATGAACATGTATAAATATAGTCACCATATGCAGTACTGATGTCCTATAAGATTATAGTACATGGTGTGTTCTGTTGTATACCCCACCATACCCCATCACCACCCTTCACCACCCATCTGTAGATATGTAACATACAGCATTGTTGTTTCAAAGTTGGAATGTGTTGTTTGTATTATAATTCTAGATACTTGATGATTAAATACAAACTGTACAGGTTATGAAGTCCAGTTCTGGCACATATGGCTTGTAGTGCATGAGGTTGGGTTACCATGGCAAAGTAAACAAACTGGTACATTCTCTAATGGCCAGCTTCCATCGTTAGGATTCCTACTATTAGGGCGCCCAGGACACAGCGTCTGTCTGTAGCAGCACATTCATAGTGTCTCAAATGGCACCCTATTCCCTACAGAGTGCACTGCTTTTGACCAGGGCCGTAAGGGCCAATTGGGATGCAGACATAGCTTAAGTTTAGTTCTCTCAGAAAACCCTCCTCTGATCTCAGCTAACCCCCATGCATCCAGGTGCCTCAACATGCTGGTTCCATCTGTAGTGACTCCTCTCTGTGAGGCTGAGGTTTAATAGAGTGCACTCGACTGGGGTGACAATGTCGTACAGCAAGTAGCACTAGAAAGATTCAAAGGTGATTTTCAATTGATTCGGTTTAAAGATGAATTATTTAAACTTTTATTGGACTCTTAGGTCCAAATGTTTCTGTTGTTGTGGGAACGGACTCGCAGACATTTGTACAGACACGCTACAGACACGCTTCAGACACGCTACAGACACGCTTCAGACACGCTACAGGCACGCTACAGACACGCTACAGTCACGCTACAGACACGCTTCAAACACGCTACAGACACGCTACAGACACGCTACAGACACGCTTCAAACACGCTACAGGCACGCTTCAAACACGCTACAGGCACGCTACAGACACGCTACAGGCACGCTACAGACACGCTACAGTCACGCTACAGACATGCTTCAAACACGCTACAGACACGCTACAGACACGCTACAGACACGCTACAGACACGCTTCAGACACGCTACAGGCACGCTACAGACATGCTTCAAACACGCTACAGACACGCTACAGACACGCTACAGACACGCTACAGACACGCTACAGGCACGCTACAGACACGCTACAGACACGCTACAGACACGCTACAGGCACGCTACAGACACGCTACAGACACGCTACAGACACGCTACAGACACGCTACAGGCACGCTACAGACACGCTACAGACACGCTACAGACACGCTACAGACACGCTACAGACACGCTACAGGCACGCTTCAGACACGCTACAGACACGCTACAGACACGCTACAGACACGCTACAGACACGCTACAGGCACGCTACAGACACGCTACAGGCACGCTACAGGCACGCTACAGACACGCTACAGGCACACTACAGACACGCTTCAGACACGCTACAGACACGCTACAGACAGACAGTAGCACCCCAGTAACTGCATCTCAGTAAGCATCAGTAGTATGATTGATTAGTATGATTGATTGATTGAAAGGTGTGTTTCTGATGATACCACTGTTACTGAGAGCTGTACTGCTGAAGCCTTCTCCAGACTCACCACTCTAACTGAAGCCAGTCTGTACACTAACGTGACACCACAAGACTATGAAAGACCACTGAGCTAAACGCCTAGGCATTAGCCCAGGGAGCTAACACAAATATTGAGGTTTCTGCAGTCAAAGCGTTGCATGCAATCAAGTAACCAGGAGCAGTCAATCAACAGTGTCTTCCTGTATAATCACCAGGTCAGACCAGGGGAGGTAGAGGCGGAGGAGGAGGTATGAACGCGTTCTGTTCTTGCCCCCTCTCTCTCTTCCTGGCCACAGTCCTATGCTAAAATGGCGCCCTATTCAATAGGGTGCCATTGGGACGCATCCCCATCGAGCCCAGTGAGGACCCCCACAAGTCCACACTTTGTGGCTCCGGCTGCAGTCCGCTGTTATTCGAAATAGTATACTTACCAAGGCCACCAGAGAATTCCTCTGGGCTACAGCCAAGAGCTGGCCGGCCGCACGGGGAGAGGGAGAGGGAGAGAGAGAGAGAGAGAGAGAGAGAGAGAGAGAGAGAGAGAGAGAGGAGAGATAGAGAGAGAGAGCGAGATACGATATAGCTACAACCAGATAGAGATAGGAGACGATAGCTCAGCTCCTCGGCTAATGAGAGATACTCAGAGAGTTCTCTATACCTATCAGAGTAGCGGCTCTCTCTCGCCGATCTCTCTCTCTCTCTCTCGCTCCCTTTCTCTTCTTTCTCCTCCTTCTTCCTCCCTTGCACGAGAACTACACTCAACGGTTCCTGAGGAGACACACTTTCTCGCTTTCTCTCTCCTCCTCCTCCCCTGTTCCTTCTTCCACCTCTTGTTACATTTCTGAGGTGTCTGTTGGCCAGTCATGGAGGCTCTCTTGCCACTCTATTTCTATACAGATGATGTGACATCCTGTTGCAGTTTATTGACTTATCATTGGGCACCAGGTGTGTAACTCCATTAAGAATGTAAATGACTGTAACTGACAATCTGTTCCATACTCTGTCACTATTGTCTGCATTTTGTGTTCCATGAGAAATAGACTGACAGTGCTTCCTATTTCATGTTTCTCAGTGTTCCATACAGCGCATTACTTCCTCTATACCCCCAGTTGTGCTCATTGATTAGCAGCCGCATCAGAATGACCATGCAGAATGTGGTCTTGTATGGTTTTAATTCACCTGTCTGATAATATGTATACAAACAGTACTATGAAACTCTAAGGACTCATGAAATCAAAATCAACAGAAATGTATCTTGATATCATTAAAAGTGACTTTTTTGTGGATATTTTGTACACTGTGTTTAGTCATCCAGGTTGTGTGTGTTCAGTAGGTAGCTCTGATCATGAACTACATGGCATGACAACAATTCAGAGGAATTAAAACCACTTATATAATATTGACACGAAGATCCAGAAAGATACATTGAAAAGTATGCAGACCACAAAGATAAGACTGAGGGTGGACTTTCTCAGCTACAATTAATGTTTTCTTCAATACCAGGGCAACATTCAGTTGCCAAACGTTGTCAAACTTTGCAGATAGTAACGCCATGAATAGAGCAGACATGATTCCTTGTTCTACAGGTCGGAGTGGCATGTTTGTTCTACATAACATATTTCTATCTGAATGTTTTAAAACTTGTGTCCTGCTGAAAGTGCCCCTGATCATTATAGTGTAATATTGTGTGATACTGCCTCCTTCAGGGTAAACCACATACTGCACAATCATACTCTTCAGAATCAGTTGGACACCATCTGTGATTGCATTTCACCTTTAAATACCCCTTTACACCTTTAAAATATTATTGTGAAGTTACAATGATCACTATATAACAAGCACAGCCTGTCACGGCAGATCTTCCGATAGCACCATGACTACAGAAACAAACAAACTAGCTGTCTCACATTTCAAAGTATATTAATGTACACAAGAAAATGAACTTACATTTCACTTTCTATTATTTATCACAAAAACACTGAAAAATGTAAGCCTGTGAACATATCTTTGGCATGGGCAATACAAACCACCTAACTCTATTAGCCTACACCGTACTACACCCCTTCAAATCTGGAACTCAAAGCCATTGTTCCCCTCTAACCAGGGGCTGATTTAGACCTGGGTGCAATAAACGATCAGGTAGAAGAGCAAACCAGCAGGCTACGGACATCGTAGCGCTGGGGTGTCAAACTCATTCCACGGAGGGCCGAGTGTCTGTGGGTTTTTGGTTTATCCTTTATTGTGTCTTTTATTTTTTGTAATTTTTTTGTGATATCCAATTGCGATCCAATTACAATCTTGTCTCATCGCTGCAACTCCCCAACGGGCTCGGGAGAGGCAAAGGTCGAGTCACGCGTCCACTGAAACATGACCGGCCAAACCGCACTTCTTAACACCCGTCCGCTTAACCCGGAAGCCAGCCGCACCAATGTGTGGGAGGAAACACCATTCAACTGAAGACCGAAGTCAGCCTGCAGGCGCCCGGCCCGCCACAAGGAGTCGCCTGCAGCACTCCCCAGCCAAACACTCCCCTAACCCAGACGACGCTGTGCCAATTGTGCGCCGCCCTATGAGACTCCCGGTCACGGCCGGTTGTGACACAGCCTGGTATCGAACCCGGGTCTGTAGTGACGCCTCAAGCACTGCGATGCAGTGCCTTAGACTGCTGCACCACTCAGTAGGCCCCTTGGTTTATCCTTTCAATTAAGACCTAGATAACCAGGTGTGGGGAGTTCCTTACTAATTACTGACCTTAGTTCATCAATCAAGTACAAGGTAGGAGCGAAAACCTACACTTGGCCCTCCGTGGAATGAGTATGGCATGTGTCCTAGGGTAAGATTTGGATACCCCTGTACTACACCATCTTGACAATGACTGATTATCTTCCACGTTTTCATTGAGAAGAGATCTGAGACCTAAGAGGCCCAACATCAGCTGGGAAAAGCTGTAGACCAAACTATAACAGCAGGTGATACAGGCCAGAACACATATCATCCCAGATCCCATAGAGACCATCACACTACCTTGAACTCAGTAACACACTCACTGATCCCTGGCCAAGCCTCAGAACATGAGCTGAGAGGGGGGAGAGGTCTATGGAGAGGAGAGGAGAGCGAGGGGAATTTAAGTCAAATGGGGCACAGACAGAAGACACTTCACATGGCTGCTCACACATTACAATACACACTGCTTCAACTACAGTAAGGGCCACATGGTGGTGTACTGGGACTACTGACAAAGATGTAATGTGACAGCCACCAAAAACAAAACACAATTCTGGGTGACAAAATCCACAGATACATTAAATAAAGGGATATATATAATAATAAAGTGCATTCAAGTATTTTGAGACAGGACTGGCCCAAGTGTCTGTGTCCTAATCTGACCTAACTATCCAGAGGACTGCCAGTGACACAGCAAGGAACAGTCTCTGTCTTGGCCACAGCTATGGCAGAAAAAACTAAAGATGATCCACTCAGGAAATATTATCTGCATCCAGCTGTTGCTAATATTATATAGAGCAATCGGGGTGTGAGAGAGATGGAGGGACACCTGGGTGACAGACCAGTCACCACATGTAGTCCGGCCTTGGACTGGAGAGCGAGAGCGAGACAGAGAGCAAGACCGAGAGCGAGAGCGAGACAGAGAGCAAGACCGAGAGCGAGAGCGAGACAGAGAGAGAGAGAAGAAATAGATAGTTGTACAGGATTGTGTATGAGGATTAATTGATACAGGGGGGAATAGAGTTATATGAAGGGGAACAGATGAACTCTTCAAACTCAAACAGGTGTTGAGTGGACTGTTCCGACTGTGTTGGGAGAATAAAACCAGACAAGATTAAACCATTAAGGACTATGATTTTTAAATCGTGTTCATATTTGAATCAAATGTATTATTTATTAATGTTATAATTACAAAATGTATATTTATGATAAGGTAATGTGTTAGTTGTTAATTATTATGTTTTCCCACTTTATTTAGGTATAACCTACACGTAACTTCGCGTTGGCTCTAAGCCTACCAAAAAATATTTTGTTGTGTTTGTATTTGACATAACAAATCCATAAGTGTTTGTAAACAACCTAAATAGGTAAACTTCGTATGGATGATTTAATATTAATTATTAACTATTCAAATGTGATAAATTCGTATTTTAGTAGGCTATAAGGGCCTATAGGCAACATTCTCAGATGATTGACGAACAAATGTATTGAACCTAGCTAAATTATCTTTTGCATTGAGTAAATTACATTATAGAAATGTAGTAGGCCTAAATGCTAATTCATAATGATCAAATCCATAATTTTTCGTTTAGAACGAACATTTAACTACATCACACCTACCAATATTGTCTGATCAAACAACATTCGACATTTCCAAATGACAATTTCAATAATTCTGTAGGCCTAATTAAACCCCAAGACAAAAAACCGAATAAAAGTTGTTTGTCTAAGTCACGCACTAATTAATTTTTATCTCGAAGGGCAAGTTAATTGAACTAACATCCACAGTAGAGTAGGCCTAAAGATAGGCTACAATTGAACACTGCATAACAATATCGACTTCCATTAGGCTAAAAATCAATGATCGACGATATTTAATCCGATTATTTATCAGATCAACGACTAAACCTGTTTATCTTTCCAAGGTAATTAGTCAGCGCCATTTGAAAGGTGTCGAGATCACCAATGTGATTGACAGCTCTCGAGGACGGCGGAAAGACGCCAGACCCTGGTGCTAATGCGCATGGCGTCTGCTGGTGCCGCTTTCCCCACAGTTCACACACACACAGGAACGGTCGCAGACTCATTAGATAAAACACACACACACAGCGCCCCAGAATATCCTCAACTATCCCGTCCAGCGGAAGTTTTTAAGCAGCCTTATCTATCGCTTTATCTGACTAGAGATGTGCTAAAGAAGGACGGGTCGCGGGAGGGAGGGAGAGAGAGAAATACAATGTACTTAAAAAAAACATTTTAGTAATTTAGCAGACGCTCTTATCCAGAGCGACTTACAGTAGTGAGTGCATTCATGTTCGTACTTTTTCGTCGAGAGAGGGAGGGAGAGAGAGAGAGAGAGAGAATGCATTAGGGATATGAACCATGTGTCTAATAGGCCTGTCATGTTAAATTTGGCTGTTGACACAGAGAGTGCTTTGCAGTCGGTCTTGCAGAATTGAGGTCAATTTAACTGAAATTCCATGTTATGAAATGAATTAAGGCCTGAAATGGAATTAACTCAAACTCTGTCAGATAGGCCTGTCTGTCACCAACTGTGTATAACCTTCAAACTTTTATTGAGATTCGTTACAACAGACTGCAGACAACTCAATGTTAATTGTTTGCGAACGTTAAGAGGAAAAACTATGTCATGAAGAAAGAAACAACGGTTTCCATGCGCTACACTGAGGCCTGTCTGAGTTCCGTTCGTTTACTTTATTTCACCAATTATTGCTGCTCGAGACACTGCAGTGTTGACGCTCTCCTCCTCGCGACCATTCATCAGCTTTCGAGGCGCGCAAATAGTCTTTAAATCTATAAACACCGCGAGCCGGGTCAGAGACAGAGGGACCCATTTAGTTCCCGGGGTCTGTGTTAAACGCTGTTGGAGATAAAACAAACGATAATACTGTCTGTCTCCGCACGGCTGTCTCCACCAGCATTAATAATGGGTGTGATGCCAACCCTGCGCGAGGTCCTCTCAGTGTGTCGTGGAATCTTTACGCACACTAATTCTCTCCAAAAGCCTTGTCCTTCAGATATTTTATTGGATGCATTTTTATAGAATAACGTGAATTATTGAATAACTAGGCATAAGATAGGCCCTACTTACTTTCTTAAGACATTTGTAGTGTACATAGCCTGTACATGATGGCTGCCAGTAGGCCTACCCGAATGTGTCATAAGGCATGACTACAGAAATGTTATGGTATGTGTGACACTCCTGGCCCGACTGCGCTGCGTGGGTGGGAAGATGCTGGTTTGTTGTCGTCTGTTATCACGTCCTGATAGCCAGATAGTTTCAGGTTCCAGTGTAGCAGCAAGACCATGTGGTCGGAGGAAGAGACATGTTGGTCCCTATGGTCTTGCTGCTAGGGACGTTCCCTCCCCCTAGACGCTTGTCTGCCTGTCTGCTGTTATTCCCATCCTTCTGTGCATTCTCAGTATACCTATCCATCCTTATGTGTCCCCCAACCCACACCCTTACCCTAAACCGGGTCCGTACCCTGTTACCAACCCTACCCCCTAAACCGAAATCCTGACCCTAAACCAGGTTCGTATCCTCTACCCAACCCCTCCATCCTGTTTCGTCTGGTCCTTTGATTTAAATGTTGCTTTCATTCATGTAATCGATTTTATGATCTTATGTACTGCACTTGCTTGTATGTAAGGGAGGCAGGTAGCCTAGCGGTTAGGCGAGTAACCGAAAGGTCGCTGGTTCGAATCCCCAAGATGGAAAATCTGCTGTTCTGCCCTTGAGCAAGGCAGTTAACAAACAACAACTGCTCCCCGGGCGCCGATGACGTAGACGTCGATTAAGGCAGCTCCCCGCACCTCTCTGATTCAGAGGGGTTGGTTTAAATGGAACTGACTAAGCATCTCCTTGCCTACTTTTAACGTCCGCCAAATAAAATGTATTATCATTAAACAATTAAACAGAATCAAACAGAGACAGACAGACACAGACAGGCTCGTGCACACATTGAAAATGGTTGTAGTATTTATTCTATTCTCTTTTGCCTTCAACAATATACATTTTATGGGGAAATATTAATAAAAATGAATAATACATGCCATTTACATAATTTAGCAAACGCTCTTAACCACTTTTTAATTTAATTTTTAATTTTTATGGGGGGTGGGGGAAGAAGGATTACTTTATACTATTCCAGGTATTCCTTAAAGAGGTAGGGTTTCAAGTGTCTCCGGAAGGTGGTCAGCGACTCCGCTGTCCTGGCGTCGTGGGGGCTTGTTCTCGCATTCCAACCATCCATTATGGACAAAAGGCGTGTTTGTGACGGTGCGTAAAGGGGCTGAAGTTGCATTCTGTATTCAGATGCAGCACGGACATGTAGGGTTACCTTACAAGCTATTATTTTGACGTCACCGGAACTGGGAACACCAATAGGAATCCCCCTAACAACGTCCAATGATAGATTTAACCTCCCCCCTCATCTGCGTAGCAGAAAAGAGGCCAAGAAAAGTTAGGGACTCGAGTTGATAGTCAAGATGCACACTTCAGTCAAGATCCCCCTCGTTAAACAAACGAGTACTTGAGCTCAGTAAATATTACCAAGAAGAGAGATTTTGGAATCCTCCGTTTGTTGCCCTTTATATGTCAGATTAACTGTTCCTTGGCAATGTTTTCCAGCCCCAGCACGTCCACACCCTTCTCGGTTAAGGATATATTAAACCTGGAGCAGCACACTAGTGCTGAGGATCTGGTCTCACTGGACATCGCTCCACGGATGGACTGTGCCTTACCGACCTCCTCCTGCATGCTGGCCCGCCTGAAACAGGAGCCGCTCCGGGAGATGTCGTTTGGAGAGGAGCTCCATGAGGCTAAAGCCAACAGAAATACTGCCCTCAACTTCGCCGCTGCCTTCTATGGGAAATCTTTCTTAGAAATGGACATCAAGGATGGCAAGACAGACAGCTTTGAGGAGAAATACAGAAAAGGTAACAGTTTATATGATATTAGTATCGAAATAGCCCTAAGTAGGCCTCTGTGAAAAACAGATTTTCATTTACATTTTAGTCATTTAGCAGACGCTCTTATCCAGAGCGACTTACAGTTAGCGAGTGCATACACTTTCATACTGGACCCCCGTGGGAAACGAACCCACAACCCTGGCGTTGCAAGCGCCATGCTCTACCAACTGAGCTACAGGGGACAATCTAAAATGTGTAGGCTAAGGATGAGACATTTCACAAGTGATGTAGTAGTAATGCACTCCTATATTATACCCTTATTCTGGACTAAGGAGGCCTAATCTATTTTACAATAAAGGAGAAAATAAAGGAAAGTTGTAATTGGAGTTTCGATTGAATTTTCTCGTCAGGATACCAAACAGTTCCATGGAAGTTTGATTAGAATTTAGAAAATATAGTAATCACCTTCATAATCGACTGAACCCGTTTGACTTTTTGGACTCTAGGATGTAGGGCAGGCCTAGAAGGTTTGTCTAATTTCTTATGTCTGACATTCTAAACCAAGTCTTGCGTAAAAGCTGAATTCCTATTGTTGGGTCCTTTATACAATTTAGCATACTGAAATAAAATTAAATATTTGTCTTAATTTATTCGTTTATTTCTATTCCACTAGACATGTCATACATCTCTCAGAGCGAGCCGGTGGAGGACCTGAAGTCAGAGGACCCGGATCGACCCGCCAAACCCCGGAAGCGCAGGAAGCCGCGCGTGCTGTTCTCACAGGCGCAGGTGTGTGAGCTGGAGCATCGCTTCAAGCAGCAGAAATACCTGTCGGCTCCGGAGAGAGACCATCTGGCCGGGGTGCTCAAACTGACCCCCACACAGGTCAAGATCTGGTTCCAGAACCGCCGCTACAAGTGCAAGAGACAGCGACAGGACCAGAGCTTGGAGATGGTCGGTATCCCGCCGCCGAGACGCATCTCAGTCCCAGTGCTGGTCCGAGACGGGAAGCCCTGCCTTGGAGACTCGACGACCTATAATACTTCATATAATGTGGGCCTTAACCATTTAACTTATAACAGTTATCCAGCGTTCAGTAATTATCCCAATCCTGGCTGTAATATGAACCATGCGTGTAACTATCCCACAAATGCGGTGCAGTCTTTCCAGCCCTCACCAAACAACGGGAATTACATGAACTTCAGCGTTGGGGAGTTAAATAACGTTCAAAACACGTTTCCCTCCGGCAATGGAGTGTCTTCTTTACATGGCATCAGAGCGTGGTGAACGAAGGATCGAAATATAACATTATCATCAGACAAATTGTTTAAATTGCATGCGCTTTTCCGTAATGGATGCATATGCTTACTTGTGTTATGTTCTTGTTATATTCCATTTACTGTACTTCGACTGGCAAACTCTTGATGCATGCATAAACTAAGTTCATTTTATTTTCATGAGGCTACTAGTTTCTGATATGGAATAGGGTGTTAATTGTAAAGTTGTATAGGAGATGTAGGTTACTACTTCAGTTGGAAGGAAAAATATGTATACAATTTCTCAGTGGACATCTTTCCCACACTAAAACTATTTTCTTTGAGATCACAAATGTACTATATGGCAATTATGTTTGTAGGTACTTAATAATACATTTTCATTCATTTCATTTTCGTCATTTAGCAGACGCTCTTATCCAGAGCGACTTACAAATACACGTATTATATGTAAATAAAGCTTTTATTTTATGTACATTGTACTTTTCCTGCATGAATTTGATAGGCTATTTCACGTGGGCGGACTACAGGACATATTCTGAGGCAGTGATGGAAAACGAACCGAATTGTCATACTTGAGTAAAAGTAAAGATACCTTAATAGATAATGACTCAAGTAAAAGTGAAAGTCACCCAGTAAAATACTACTTGAGTAAAAGTCTAAAAGTATTTGGTTTTAAATATACTTAAGTATCAAAAGTATAAATCATTTCAAATTCCTTATATTAAGCAAAGCAGACGGCAACATTTTCTAGTTGTTTTATTTTATTTACAGATAGCCAGGGGCACACTCCAACACTCAGACATAATTTACAATCGAAGCATGTGTTTAGTGAGTCCGCCAGATCAGAGGCAGTAGGGATGACCAGGGATGTTATCTTGATAAGTGTGTGAATTAGACCATTTTCAGGTCCTGCTAAGCATTAAAAATGTAAGGAGTACTTTTGGGTGTCAGGGAAAAAGTATGGAGTAAAAAGTACATAATTTTCTTTAGGAATGTAGGATCCCCTGTAGCTCAGTTGGTAGAGCATGGCGCTTGTAACGCCAGGGTTGTGGGTTCGTTTCCCACGGGGGGCCAGTATGACAATGTATGCACTCACTAACTGTAAGTCGCTCTGGATAAGAGCGTCTGCTAAATGACTAAAATGTAAGTAAAAGTTGTCAAAAATATAAATAGTAAAGATACCCCAAAAAACGACTGAAGTAGTACTTTAAAGTATTTTTACATAAGTACATTACACCACTGTTCTGAGGGACATTTTTTAAATGAATTAATATGAACAAACAACTAGAATGGGATCCAATTATACCACCAGATTATTTCTAATCATCTTCAATTGTTTAGAAATTATTTCTAAATATGAAATGTAACCTATCGACCAATTATAATTTTAGGCCTAGCGCGTTCATAAAACTAAAGCCTATCAATACGAATTCTATCGACCATTAATTATTTAAAAGGCTAAATGTATTATTTTATTTATAATAGTCATTACTGTTATGCTTAATAAAACATAGATTAGCCTAATTGTATTGTGTTCTTAATAATATATTATAGCCTCCATTAAAATCGTTACAATAGGCCTAGACGACAATTTTCAAATCGATGAGGAAATATGTTCAAGATCACACAACAATCTATGCATTTGAAGAATTCTTAACTTTCCAACCGTTATAATTTTTATTTGATTTTTTCTTCAGTTTCACTACTCTCTAGCCTACATATCGAGCAAACACAAGGCCTATCCAAGCACATAAAGATACCATATGTCAGTGTGTTTTAATATTAGGAAAATCGTCCATCACCGTAGCCTATAGTAATTGCCATTGTAAATAAAAATAAATAAATAATTGTCTATAGCCAGCACACATTACAAGTAATCCATGTCAAAAAATCTCACCCGCTACCCATGCAGCGGTTCACGTATGTTTAACGTCAGGTTAAACCCTTCAAGTGGCTATTAGAGACCTTCAATCTGCTAAACCGGAAACTAAAGGTCGTAAAAGGTAACTTTATTTTTTATTTTTACAACGACTAGCCGGCCTCTCCATAAAACATGCTTGGAGCATGTCACGCAATTTTGACTAAATAAGACAAATATGTTGTGGAGGGCTTTAGACGGTATTTGAATATAGGCTAAGTCTATAGGTCCGGCTTACAAGGTCACGTCCAGTTAGACCTACTTCTTCTACAGGTGCACATCAGTCCCCATTAGCCTATAAAAATGGAACACTTTTAAAGGGCGAGGCCGTGAGATAGCATAGCATCACTGACCTAATTTAAATATTTACAGAGATGTCTGTGACCATTCAGAACGGTTGTGTTCAAGTCCTGCTGACGGGTCGTCAGTAGAAACAGTTCAGGGTTCGGGTTAATGCGTTCATCATTAATCAGACAGTTACCGCTGATCCACGGTCAGATTCTGAAATCGCCCACTGGCCCCCAGAAATACACTGACAAATGTATTTTGAAATGGCACTGAATAACCTAAAAAGCTATCACTGCACATAGGCCTAAAATTAAACAGCCTTGTTTAATGTGCCTGCAGAGTGGACAGGGCTGCTATTTATCAAGTAGTAGCCAGAATAATTGTTGAAACATTTAAATAATATGCCTATATGATCATTACATTATAGTAATTTAGCAGACACTTATCCAGAGTGTCTTACAATCAGTTAATAATGATGCTGATTAACTGAATTTATATACAGTGCCTTTAGAAAATATTCATACCCTTGACTTATTCCACATTTTGTTGCCCTTCAGCCAGAATTCAAAATGGATTAAATAGATTCTCACCCATCTACACACAATATCCCATAATGATAAAGTGAAAACATGTTTTTAGAAATGTTAGCAAATGTATTTATAATGAAATACAGAAAAATAACATTTACATAAGTATTCACACCCGAGTCAATACATGTTAAATTTTAGCAGACACTCTTATCCAGAGCGACGTACAGTTAGTGAGTGCATACATTTTATTTTTATTTTTTTCATACTGGCCCCCCGTGGGAACCGAACCCACAACCCTGGCGTTGCAAGCGCCATGCTCTACCAACTGAGCAACACGGGGTGTTAGAATGACCTTTGGCAGTTATGATGAGTCTTCCTGGGTAGGTCTCTAAGAGATTTGCAAACCTGGATCATACAATATTTGCTCATTATTATTTTTTTAATTCTTCAAGCTCTGTCAGTTGGTTGTTGATCATTGCTAGACAGCCATTTTCAAGTCTTGCCATAGATTTTCAAGCCGATTCAAGTCCAAACTGTAACTAGGCCACTGAGGAACATTCAATGTCATCTTGGTAAGCAACTCGTGTCTGGTGGAAAGCAGACTGAACATGGTTTTCCTCTAGGATTTTGCCTGTGCTTAGCTCCATTCAGTTAATTTTTTATCCTGAAAAACTCCCCAGTCAAAGGGATATTTAATGTCAGTGTTTTTTTTTCTATTTTTCCCCATCTACCAATACTGTAGGTGCCCTTCTTTGCGAGGCATTGGAAAAATGCACTGCTTGACTGAGGGGCCTTACAGATAATTGTATGTGTGGGGTGCAGAGATGAGGTAGTCATTCAAAAAGACTCCATGCAATTTATTATGTGACTTAAGCACAGTTTCACTCCTGAACTTATTTAGGCTTGCCATAATAAAGGGGTTGAATACAGACATTTCAGCTTTTCATTTTTTATTAATTACATTTCAAAAAACATAATTCCACTTTGATATTATGGAGTACTGTGTGTGACACAAAATCTCAATTTAATCCATTTTAAAATCTGGCTGTAATAACAAAATGTGGAAAAAGTCAAGGGGTGTGAATACTTTCTCAAGGCACTGTAGCACATTAAAAACCCTTTAGGCAACATTGTGTGGGGGGAGCTCACTTCCCCTCACTCAGCAGAACTCAGTGTAGAACACAGTTCAGGGCCTGCCACTAAACAGGATCTATTCACATTTCAAGATCATGCACACCTCTCCACTTGATTGACACTATCATGGTGCTATGTAAGAATAGCTCCATTTGCTTGACATAGAGCCGGGGCCCTGCTATAAGTGTGCAGCTAAAGGGACGGGATGAGGAATTGGCCGAGCACAAATGGCTGCCACTTTAAAACGAGTAAGAACCGCTTAGCCTTCTCTTAGGTCTATCGACTCTCTCCACACGTACTCGCTAACGTGTCTCACTGTAAAAGAAAATAACAAAAGATGTTGTCTTGTCACATAAGTGCAGTGTAAATGTGTTGTTTTACAGGGTTAGCCATAGCAGTACGGCGTACCTGGAGCAAATTAGGGTTAAGTGCCTTGCTCAAAGGCACATCAGAATTGTTCAACTTGTCGGCTCGGGTAGTCAAACCAGCAACCTTCCGGTTAATGGTACAATGCTCTAACCACTAGGCTGTACCGTCGTTCCCCTACTGATTCAGAGTCAGATATGATCCATAACAACACACACAACTGAGACAACTGGGGTAGACAAAGGCAAAGGCCTTTATTGGTACACTGAACAGAAAAGTCAACATGAAAACAGATTTTGATTTCCCAAATGACACGAGACCGTCATCATGTAGAGGGTAGAGAGGTCATGTAGCTACCAGCCCCCCCACATCTCTTCTCCCCCCTCCAAAGTGTTGAAAAGGCAACGTCAGATAGCAGGTCCACCAAACCTAAAAATAACCACCCCCCACCCCCCTCACCCTCCACCCCCGGTGGAAAGAAAGGGAGCAGGGAAACGGGTAGGAATAATCTGCTTATCTGAAGAAAGGCAGAGATGCATGGTTCCTTATCGCTGACTATGTGATTACTGCCACAGCTTTTCAGATTTTTTCTGCCCTGGTGCCTGGGCTGCACAGACTACACTGTTCCCCCTGCTGCTAGATTTTCTGCCCTGGTTGGTCAGCACTGTTCACCCTGCTGCCAGCTCCTGGGAGCAGGCCTCACCACTGCTGAGCCAAGCTAGCTAGCTCCATAAGGAAATACTGTAGACCAGAAGCTAGGCCAGACTCACTGAAACTTGTGTGGGGGATATGTACATCCTACATTACCACGCTGCTGCTTGGAGAAAAATGTTTACACTATTTCATAATGTCAACGTTTTGTGATTATCTCTTCAAAAATGGATTACATTACAGAGAATGTGTTACACATTGACATTAACCCATATACTTTAAATAATGGTCCTGCGGAAATGGAATCTCCATTAAATAAGGCTACTGGTAATTTCAATTTATTTATCTTTCAGAGCATGATATAAATAATTGGACAACAGCTTTAAATTCCTGCAATGGAATAATAAATTAACATGATAATCATAACAATTGGTTACATTAACCATCAAACTTTACTATAAGCATTGCAAACAGCTGATATTTCCTTCCATGACGGACGAGTAATGTTTAAAATAGGCTTATCCCGAAGGCCATTACTACTGTGTGTGTGCACAAGTCTTTAAATGTTGATATGGATTTACATGTATCCACCTGCGGCAGGTAGGAATGATTAATAAGCAGTATATTTACCTGCCAATAGTTATCACAACTCACTTATGTCATAAATTAGTTACTCTAACAAAAGCTGCTCTAAAAGTTACTTAGTTTAAGTTAGTTGTGTCTGGTCTAGAGGAAAAATAATATATTCTTGAGGATGTAGAAGAACTTGGCGAGGAAGAGTGCAAGAGCAAGGAAGATGAGCAGTTTGTCAGTGAGCTCCCTGCGGTTGTACTTAGTGATGAGCTTTCTCCCCAGCTGGATGGTTCCGGTTTGTCTCCGGGACCGCCTGAGATGAGGTTGCTACGGAGTCCACCCTGGGCTTTGGGTCTGGACATATCAAATAGCCTCCTGTCAGCTGCTTGTTTTTATTTGAATAAAGCAACTGAGAAACAAACAGGCCTGGGTCCTCCAATTTGAGGGCTTTTGGTGGAACCCCCTCAATATTGTTCTCACCAGTGGTGTAGTCAAAGGTAAACACACGCAAATGGCATTTACACACCTTTTTTATGTTGCTCAAACGTTTTCCCACCTATTGCAAACAAATGCATTGTAAATATAGGGAGTATTACTTTATTCACTGTGAAAGGCGATCAGCGTTTACCCACTTTTTACCATTACAACACTGGTTCTCACTCATCTAGTTCTTTCAGATTTGTAAACAGGGAGCTAGGGGACGGGGTTAGGGGCTGAAATTATAAACACTACTGTCATCTCAGAAACACAGACTCCTATATGATTCACTCTCTGTACACTAGGGGGAGCCACTCACCCAGCGTGGTCATGGTTTCCTCGCTCTGCATCACCTGCTGTGACATCATCAGGCTGATGCTCATCAGGCTCTCTGTGATGTCACTGGACGTCTGGGCCAGCACCTGTTATTTTTTCCTCCAATCAGGAAGGTGACCAAAGACATTCTACATCTTCATAGTAACAGATAACAATAAGACAAGACACAGTGAGTGAAATAAGGGAACGACAATGAAACACTACAGAGAAGAGTATCTAGAAACAGACAATATCTGTTTACCTTTGTCTAAGTCCACTATCGCCTCCATAGAGAAGAGATTCCTTCTCCAGGTTGTCTAGGGACAGTTTACTGGCCAGGTTGGCCTTCCTCCATGCTGTCTGGTTACTGCAGGGATAGAAAACATACCGTTTCATTAGGATGCTTGCGTACAGTTTATGCACTACCACCATATGTAAAGGTCTAAGGAAAACACCAGAAAACCATTCTAATGGAGACGTACATCCTACTACCTACTACAGACTGGATCCAGTACTGAAGCAACAGCAGTATTCCACACTCCTACCGTGCTCTCTTACCTGAGCATCTGCTTGCGGTGTCTCTCCACCTCACTGAGTAGAGCCAGCTTGACTGACTCCTTGTCCTGCTCCCTCCCCATCTGATCTAGGTCCTGTCAAACACTGTTCATTTCGTCAACAATAACTATGACGAAAAATACTCATCAAGTACCTATTTTTCCTGACTAAAAGTATGACGATAACGAGACGCCCTGGAAAAACCCCATAACTATTACTTTTCATTTTAGTCGACAAAAATGTGTCGAGACAAGAATTCCACGTGAGACTAATGGACATTTAATTTAACATGAAAGTCCTTTTAATCCGTTTTGTTCAATCAGAAACATGAATGCAGAATATTTCATGCAATCCACTCATTGGCAGAATTGACATCTTTCTGTTACGCGGTCTGATTGAGCTGATCTGCCCGGCTCTCCCACACAGCTCCCAGGTGGTCACTTCAGACACTCGTCAATCTTCTGAACTGATGTGAAGCCAGGACACTGGTCCTGTTACCAACCTCAACTAGAAACAATGTTTACTCTCTCTCTCTTACTTTCATGTAGGCTATTTTTGCTTTGATCACATCAAAGCTCTATTTCCGCTGTTATTCATTCATCGGTGTTGCCGCTCTCGCGCCCAGTTTCTACTGGAAAAACTAATGCTATTTGTTGAATATTAGACGTACAGTAATACTTCTGAAATTTTGTAAAGCTCAAATCCGCTTTTCGATGAAACCACTGTTATTTAACCCCTTGACAGTTACAATGGGAAGAAAATCAGAGCTGTAAATTGTTTAACCTGTAGCCAAGGCTTTATAGCCTACAGTGAGGGGAAAAAAGTATTTGATCCCCTACTGATCTTGTACGTTTGCTCACTGACAAAGAAATGATCAGTCTATAATTTTAATGGTAGGTTTATTTGAACAGTGAGAGACAGAATAACAACAAACAAAGTATTTGATCCCCTCTCAATCAGAAAGATTTCTGGCTCCCAGGTGTCTTTTATACAGGTAACGAGCTGAGATTAGGAGCACACTCTTAAAGGGAGTGCTCCTAATCTCAGTTTGTTACCTGTATAAAAGACACCTGTCCACAGAAGCAATCAATCAATCAGATTCCAAACTCTCCAGCATGGCCAAGACCAAAGAGCTCTCCAAGGATGTCAGGGACAAGATTGTAGACCTACACAAGGCTGGAATGGGCTACAAGACCATCGCCAAGCAGCTTGGTGAGAAGGTGACAACAGTTGGTGCGATTATTCGCAAATGGAAGAAACACAAAAGAACTGTCAATCTCCCTCGGCCTGGGGCTCCATGCAAGTTCTCACCTCGTGGAGTTGCAATGATCATGAGAACGGTGAGGAATCAGCCCAGAACTACACAGGAGGATCTTGTCAATGATCTCGCATTGTGGGTTGAAAGCTGTAACACTGAATAAAACAATTAATAAAAGTCCCATCCATGATGGTAGTGACTGCTCATTACTGCTTATCACTTATTAACATTACTTTAATAAAATATTAAATTAGTTTTAAAAACAGAAAAATAACCACAATGTTGGTAAATCGCTCAGCACTAATATTTGGCCTTGCGTTTTAGGTTATTGTCCTGCTGAAAGGTGGATTTGTCTCCCAGTGGTTTGTTGAAAAGCAGACAGAATCAGGTTTTCCTCTAGGACTTTGCCTGTGCTTAGCTCTATTCAGTTTCTTTTGATCCCCCCACCAAAAAAATAATAACTCTAGTTCTTGCTGATGACAAGCATACCCATAACATGATGCAGCCACCACCACGCTTGAAAATATGAAGAGTGGTACTCAGTGATGTGTTGTGTTTGCCCCAAACATAATGCTTTGTATTCAGACCCAAAAGTTAATTTCTTTGCAGTATTACTTTAGTGCCTTATTGCAAACAGGATGCAGGTTTTGGAATATTTTTTATTCTGTACATGCATCCTTTTCACGCTGTCATTTAGGTTAGTATTGTGGAGTAACTACAATGTTGTTGACCCATCCTCAGTTCTATCACAGCCATTAAAAACTGTTTTAAATTCACCATTGGCCTCATGGTGAAATCCCTCAGTGGGTTCCTTCCTCTCCGTCAACGGAGTTTGGATGGACGCCTGTATCTTGGAGTGACTGGGTGTATTGATACACCATCCAAAATGTAATTACTAACTTCACCGTGCTCAAAGGGATTCTCAATGCCCATTTTTTTACCAATAGGTGCCCTTCTTTGTGAGACACTGAAAACCTCCCTAGTCTTTGTCGTTGAATCTGTGCTTGAAATTCACTGCTCGACTGAGGGACCTTACAGATACAGTGGGGAAAAAAGTATTTAGTCAGCCACCAATTGTGCAAGTTCTCCCACTTAAAAAGATGAGAGAGGCCTGTAATTTTCATCATAGGTACACGTCAACTATGACAGACAAAATGAGAAAAAAATGTCCAGAAAATCACATTTTAGGATTTTTAATGAATGTATTTGCAAATTATGGTGGAAAATAAGTATTTGGTCAATAACAAAAGTTTCTCAATACTTTGTTATATACCCTTTGTTGGCAATGACACAGGTCAAACGTTTTCTGTAAGTCTTCACAAGGTTTTCACACACTGTTGCTGGTATTTTGGCCCATTCCTCCATGCAGATCTCCTCTAGAGCAGTGATGTTTTGGGGCTGTCGCTGGGCAACACGGACTTTCAACTCCCTCCAAAGATTTTCTATGGGGTTGAGATCTGGAGACTGGCTAGGCCACTCCAGGACCTTGAAATGCTTCTTACGAAGCCACTCCTCCATTGCCCGAGTGGTGTGTTTGGGATCATTGTCATGCTGAAAGACCCAGCCACGTTTCATCTTCAATGCCCTTGCTGATGGAAGGAGGTTTTCACTCAAAATATCATAATACATGGCCCCATTCATTCTTTCCTTTACACGGATCAGTCGTCCTGGTCCCTTTGCAGAAAAACAGCCCCAAAGCATTATGTTTCCACCACCATGCTTCACAGTAGGTATGGTGTTCTTTGGATGCAACTCAGCATTCTTTGTCCTCCAAACACGACGAGTTGAGTTTTTACCAAAAAGTTATATTTTGGTTTCATCTGACCATATGATATTCTCCCAATCCTCTTCTGGATCATCCAAATGCACTCTAGCAAACTTCAGACGGGCCTGGACATGTACTGGCTTAAGCAGGGGGACACGTCTGGCACTACAGGATTTGAGTCCCTGGCGGTGTAGTGTGTTACTGATGGTAGGCTTTGTTACTTTGGTCCCAGCTCTCTGCAGGTCATTCACTAGGTCCCCCCGTGTGGTTCTGGGATTTCTGCTCACCGTTCTTGTGATCATTTTGACCCCACGGGGTGAGATCTTGCGTGGAGCCCCAGATCGAGGGAGATTATCAGTGGTCTTGTATGTCTTCCATTTCCTAATAATTGCTCCCACAGTTGATTTCTTCAAACCAAGCTGCTTACCTATTGCAGATTCAGTCTTCCCAGCCTGGTGCAGGTCTACAATTTTGTTTCTGGTGTCCTTTGACAGCTCTTTGGTCTTGGCCATAGTGGAGTTTGGAGTGTGACTGTTTGAGGTTGTGGACAGGTGTCTTTTATACTGATAACAAGTTCAAACAGGTGCCATTAATACAGGTAACGAGTGGAGGACAGAGGAGCCTCTTAAAGAAGAAGTTGCAGGTCTGTGAGAGCCAGAAATCTTGCTTGTTTGTAGGTGACCAAATACTTATTTTCCACCATAATTTGCAAATAAATTCATTAAAAATCCTTTGTGTGATTTTCTGGATTTTTCTTCTTCTCAATTTGTCTGTCATAGTTGACGTGTACCTATGATAAAAATTACAGGCCTCTCATCTTTTTAAGTGGGAGAACTTGCACAATTGGTGGCTGACTAAATAATTTTTTCCCCCACTGTAATTGTATGTGTGGGCTACAGAGATGGGGTAGTGATTAAAAAATCAAGTTAAACCCCATTACTGCACACAGAGTGACTTGTTAAGCAAATGTTTGAATACTTATTGACTCAAGACACTTCAGCTTATAATTTTTTATTCATTTGTAAACGTTTCTAAAAACATAATTCCACGTTGACATTATGGGGTATTGCATGTAGATCAGTGACAAAATCTTAATTTAATCCACTTAAAATTCAGGCTGTAACACCAAAATATGGAAAGAGTCAAGGGGTGTGAATACTTTCTGAAGGCACTGTATCTAGCTGTGGCCATCTGGCTAGTATCAACAAGGGCTTCTACAAAATAGCAACATCAGCGCCAAAGATTTGTATTGTTCCATCTGTGTTCTGTGTTAGCGCAGACAGCTTAGAATATAGACCATAAGCAATACGCACGGATATGCATACCCAAACAACGCTACTGCCACCTTCTGGTTTAGAGTATTTCAACAAGGCTGAGTGACTGACTACCAAGGTCTTTGCTGTGTGAACTCTAAAGAGATTGAAGAGTATAAAAAACTAAAATAATGTATGCACTCACTAACTGTAAGTCGATCTGGATAACAGCGTCTGCTAAATGACTAAAATGTAAATGTAAAGAGTGTCGGCAGTCAAGAGGTGGTAAGTAACCCCCCTTGTTTTTACACTGCTACTACTCACAGTTTATTATTTATGCATAGTCACTTTACCCCTACCTACATGCAGTGGTGGAAAAAGTACCCAATTGTCATACTTGAGTAAAGGTAAAGATCCGTTAATAGAAAATGACTCAAGTAAAAGTCACCCAGTAAAATAATACTTGAGTAAAAGTCTAAAAGTATTTGGTTTTAAATATACTTAAGTATCAAAAGTACATGTAATTGATCAAATGTACTTAAGTATAAATCATTTCAAATTCCTTATATTTGGGCAAACCAGACGGCACGATTTTCTTCTTTATTTAATTTATGGATAGCCAGGGGCACACAAATAATGGAGTAAAAAGTAAATCATTGTCTTTAGGAATGTAGTTAAGTAAAAGTAGTCAAAAATATAAATAGTAAAGTACAGATACAACAAAAAAACGATTGAAGTAGTACTTTAAAGTATTTTTACTTAAGTACTTTACACCACTGCCTACGTGTACAAATTACCTCGACTAACCTGTACCCCCAGCACATTGACTCGGTACAGGTACCCCCTGTATATAGCCTTGTTATTGTTATTTTATTGTGTTACTAAATAAACTAAAGTAAAAAATAAAAAGTAAATATTTTCTTAACTCTATTTATTGAACTGCATTGTTGGTAAGGGCTTGTAAGTAAGCATTTCACGGTTAGTTCTACACCTGTTGTATTCGGCGCATGTGACAAATACGATTTGATTTGATTTAAGTACTGTCGGCAGGCAAACGTTTGACAATGCTACCGGTGTGTCCAGACTATGCAAATAAATTGACCGAAATGACTAAAATAGCTGCAAATATTAGTATATAATGTGTCCTACAAATAACACTGATGGATACAGCTCAATATGAACTGATGTATCAAAGGGTTGAATCTCAATAGTCTAAAGAGGCTTGCTCAGTCTCCTTTTCACCATATATGATATATGGACAGGTGCAATCTGCACCAGGCAGTTGAAGGACAGGAAATGAGGAATGAAGCCTATTTTATTTTTTTACATTGAGATGCATTGGAGACAGGAGGATAACCGTTGTCTCTTACCTAAAACTGTAGCCTTACATGCTACCCAGACCGTACGCGCAAGTTGATTTTGTCCCCCCACACCAGATGCGATCAGTACACGCAGGTTGAAATATCGCTCGCGCGTGCTGACCACACCGCACGCGTCGCAACATAAATGTACACATACATGTTATTCAATCATTGCACCCACACTGCTCGCGCATGTCAACGAGAGTCACTCGGTTCTATTTGTGACGCAAAACGCACTGCAAACACCGATTATTATTTGACCCTGCTGGTCATCTATGAACGTTTGAACATCTTGGAGAAAAATCTGGCCTTAATGGCCATGTACTGTTAATAATCTCCACCTGGCACAGCCAGAAGGGGACAGGCCACTCCTCAGAGCCTGGTTCCTCTCTAGGTTTCTTCCTAGGTTTCCGCTTTTCTAGGGAGTTTTTCCTAGCCACCGTGCTTCTACATCTGCATTGCTTGCTGTTTGGGGTTTTAGGCTGGGTTTCTGTATAGCACTTTGTGACATCTGCTGATGTAAAAAGGGCTTTATAAATAAAATGTCATTTATTGAAGTCCTGCCTCTCCCATCTCATTGGTTTTCGGAGCATCTACCCATGTGGGGGATTGAAAGATGAACTGAGGTCTACGCTCCAGTCGGTTGTGGTAATGACCATAATGTTGGTTGCCAACCGCCATATAAAGTCCAAAGAAGAAGAAGCCTGAAGGAGGAGAGATTGCTAGAAAACACATTTTTACCATTTTATCTGTGGATTAATTTTCTGAGTAGAGGACCTTGCATTTCAGGTAAAATAACAACCCAATGTTTATATCCCAGGACAAATTATCTAGCAACAGCAAGCTAAATTGACATAAATGTTTAATGCTTTTCGACCTGTCCCGAAATTAATATAATTGGTTGTTTGTTTTGATATTTCAACCTGCGTGTCCTGATCGCGTCTGGTGTGGGGGGACAAAATCAACTTCAATTTTGCTTTCACTTCGCCATTCAACTCGGTCATCTTGACGCGTGGTCCTGTACATTCATTGACATCCTAATTTCAGTGAGTGAATGAGAGAAAATATTAAAATCAGACAAATGGTTGTGATATATCCAAAGGTTCAAAAAGATAATCAGTCAAAATCTATTCTGCATCCCGGCCATTGTACCAAAATGGGTTAGTGGCCAACGCTGAAAAGGAGCCCAACCAGCTGCGACAGAAAACAAGGTTATTCTCCACAATGAGTACGACAACATACAATATCGTTGTATTATATAGTCAAGAACAATAACTTACTTAATCAATAGTCATACCGGCACGAGAGCTTTTATTTCCAAGTCATATTTGATGATTTCTTGCTCGCATATTCGGACGTCAACATCCGAGGACATGGCTCTACAACAAACTAGTCTACGGCAAGCCGCAAGGAATAACTGAATGGACTTCCTCGTAGTTGGTAAAAGGAGCGCGCCTCTTTACTTCCACAGCAAAGAGGGTATTTTGGTGATGAGCAATAAGAACCGGTTTAGCAAAAACATGTAAATCAATAGGTTGATTGTTTTAATATCTATAATTTCTAAGGACAGTGAATGAATGCCATCACACAAACACACAATGAAGGACACATGGAATCAAAAGCAAGACTACATTACACGCAACATATATTAATTTATGGGGTAGCTTTAGTCCAATAATGGACTAAAGGAGCCTAACGTTACTGTCTAGAGGTGAATTGGCTCTGGCAGCCAAAACAGTGTGAACCAATTCTCCATTGCAGTACGGTTGTAGAAACATAAAGCCCTCTACTTTCATACCACATCAAAATAATTGCACAAATGCAAAATATACACTTACTGTACTGTTTTAAGCAGTTATTTTTCAGTGACACATTTGTGGCGTCCGTTTCCACGCAGGTGTTTGTAAATAGATGCAGAAAGCTAATTAGCAGGTAGTTGTAAGTCGCTTTGGATAAGAGCGTCTGCTAAATGACTAAAATGTAAATGTTAAAATGTAGTTGCTTCGGTCTTCCATCTGTTTTCCGTAAACAAACGCTGTAACATGGAAATATGGCAGTGTGGGAACCCTACCCCTTTAAAGGTGTGTAGTATTTTTATTTATTTTATTATTCCGCTGATATGAAAGATACGCTCCTTATGTTTCCAAAACCTTACCGCAGGCGATGCGCCTTAATGTTTAGAGCAAGCATCCGGGCTCTTAACAAAACTCCTCCGGCCAGAATATTTTATCGTCAATAGGCGCTAAAGGTAGTTATTGTCTATGAATGGGCCAGGGTAACTAGTACCATGCCTTGCAAAGATCATATATCAAAGTTAGAGAATCAAAAAGTCACAGCACAATATACAGAACATACCATACAAATCAAAGGAAAGGCTGATACTTCATTCTTAAAGCACTAAAGTGGATTTCTTTAGAAAAGTCCTTTGGGGATCAGTTTGCACAAATCACCTTTGCAGGCATCTCTCCACACTCTCTAAGGTCAGGTGTCAAAGGCTGGGTTAAGGCTCTAGATGTACAAGAACAGTTCCCTTTGTGAGGAGGTGATCGAGTGCTTCATTGGTGTACAGCAGTGAGTCAGGTCCTCTCCTGCAGAAAATAAAACAGAGAAAATTGTTACGGTGAAAGTTAATTCCTTATTGCTTTTTCATCCAGCCATTGCTTTCAGATCAGTGCAGATTGAAAGAAAGGAGACGAGACGTTTTCATAAAAAGTACAGATTAAAATAGATAAGGAGAGGAAGCCACAACTACAGACTACTATTGACAGAGAGCAGTTTTTTGTTCATTGATTCATTTCATCTTTTGGCCAACACATTTGCAGCTAAAAGGTTGAATTGCAGTATACTTAGACGAGGTTCCCTCAATTTTTGGGGGCACTGAGCAAATTTTAGGTCTTGTGAGCGAAAACTTGAACATTGTGAAACTTCCAGCGCGCGTTTACAGTGAACATAGGGCGGCGCACAATTGGCCCAGCGTCGTCCGGGTTTGGCCGGTGTAGGACGTCATTGTAAATAAGAATTTGTTCTTAACTGACTTGCCTAGTTAAATAAAGGTAAAATACAAATTAAAAAATAAACACTGACGCTGTACCCTTACAGTTTTAGACAGTAGCCAATAGGCTATTGTGGCTATTTGAGCATAATGTAGGACTACCAACAAAACCAATGGTGTGAATCCAATAACATTTTCACATGGAAATAGCTTTTGATTTCTATGATATAGCCTACAGTAGCCTATATGTGGTGTTCAATGCAGGCCTACATTGCATGAGACATAAAAAAGTTTTACATTTAAGTAATGATTTTTTACTTGGTCTGTAACACCATGGGCCAAATAGGTGACTGTAAATTGCATTGTATTGTGTTTACAAAATACAATTAATTATTATTACCATACAGAGAATTAGACAATGTAGGCTACCCCTCTGCCTATTGGCTTATTTGCATATTCAAGCCCGTCTCAAAATACAACGCTGCCCCTTTAACTAAGACATACACTTTTGACCTAACTGGCTTTTCAAAGACAGCTTGAAATGTAGCCTAAGCCTACAAGTTTTCAGCACTTGTAGGAAGCAGTAAATCCCCACTGCTGACCTATACCTGGGCTAACAACTCGCTAACTAGCAAAGAATATCAACACATTTGCACACGCGCAGCTCTGAAAAGCGCTTTCACTTGCAGGTGATTGAAAGACTCGTGGGCTACCCCTTCCTATAGAATTCTGTTCTATAATAATAATAATAATAATAATAATATGCCATTTAGCAGACGCTTTTATCCAAAGCGACTTACAGTCATGTGCGCATACATTTTTACGTATGGGTGGTCCCGGGGATCGAACCCACTACCCTGGCGTTACAAGCGCCGTGCTCTACCAATTGAGCTACAGAGGACCTTTGCGCTCTGGCTCTGCATACAAAAAAATCACAGATTCAATCTTGCAAAGTTAGATTTGGTTTGGTTTGTTGCATTGAAAAGGGGCTGACATAATGTTGATTCAATCACAGAAAAAACGTTGATCTATATAGTGCAAACTAATGGGGCGAACTCAGTGAAGTTAAATCTCTTGCGTCTCTGCGCGGCATTGCATTTCTTCTGCGCTGCAGTCCTGGAGGAGGTGCGGGGCCGTGCACAGCTTAGAGGGAACATTGCTTACAGACAAACAAAAGATAACAAAATAAATTGGGTGATGATATGGACCTCTCAGGTGTACCTGACTGAGTTTACCTGTAGCAGGAGAGGAGCCGAGGGCTGGTAGACTAGGACCAGTGAGATTACCTGTAGCAGGAGAGGAGCCGAGGGCTGGTAGACTAGGGCCAGTGGTAGTACATGTACCAGATGGTATCGTTCTTTAGAGCTGGTCCAAACAGAGGGTTGAGCTGTGCCAGGATCGCTATCAGCCAGCTGAAAACATACAACACATACTAATGATTACACAACTACATATGTCTTTCATGGCTTCTGTTATGTCTAATGGCTTTGTTTGTGGACCCCAGGAAGAATAGCGTTCACTAAGGCGTCTAAGGCATCTGATGGGGATCTAAATGAAGAATAAAGATACTACCCTATAGTAATGGATGAACATGACAGCAGGGTCAGCTATAATAGAGGAATCCAACTAAGCGCTCAGTACAGCAGACTGAAGGAGACAACATATCACTAGATTTTTCCCTCTGCTGCAGTGGACACTATCCCCATTACGTGGCCTGCAGTGGCCCCTGGTGGACATATGGCAAAATAACATGACACGGCTTTATCTGCTCACCTGACAACTTCAGAAGCTAAATAATTAACTATGAAATTAAAATGGCATCTCAGGACTACCAGGTTATATTGAATGGAATCATTACCTACCGTACAAGCAATAGGCGTACTCTAGGATCATTACCTACCGTACTCTAGGATCATTACCTACCGTACTCTAGGATCATTACCTACCGTACTCTAGGATCATTACCTACCGTACTCTAGGATCATTACCTACCGTACTCTAGGATCATTACCTACCGTACTCTAGGATCATTACCTACCGTACTCTAGGATCATTACCTACCGTACTCAAGGATCATTACCTACCGTACTCAAGGATCATTACCTACCGTACTCTAGGATCATTACCTATCGTACTCTAGGATCATTACCTACCGTACTCTAGGATCATTACCTACCGTACTCTAGGATCATTACCTACCGTACTCTAGGATCATTACCTACCGTACTCTAGGATCATTACCTACCGTACTCTAGGATCATTACCTACCGTACTCTAGGATCATTACCTACCGTACTCTAGGCCTAGACTTATTTTCTCTATCGGCAAAACCGACCGTGACAAACTTTGAGCGTGTCTACATCTGTGAAAGACTGGTAATCACTATGTATTGATGTTGGGACATTGAAAACGAGCTGCAGTTGGCCCAATCAATGTTAATGGAAAATTACCTAAGGGAGAATCATGTTCCCACTGTGTCTGTATGTGGGACAGATGCTTAACACCATCCCTAGCTCCAAATATAGGCTAATAGTCCAGTTTCACACTTTCATGAAAGCAACATTATGCATGATGCAAGATTCAAACACACAACACTGGGCTGTAATCATTACACCGATTCTGTTTCAAAACATACGGAAAACGCAAACGAGAGTTTCTATTGAACAAATTCAGGTAGGTCCTGCCCCATTTCATTCCGCTTGCTCTGTTTGGGTCCATTTGGTTCTTAAAACGGTAAACGGTTTCCGTAATGAATACACCCCTGATGTTGCCCGCCTGCACCCTGTTCCAACTGAGCCAAATGAATATAAGAAGGAGCCTCAGTGGATACTGTGAAATATTCTGCTACATTCCTGGAAGGACTGTACTTACAACAGGTAGCAGCAGACAGCAGTTAGCACCAACATGGTAACTATCACTCTGTGGAGGGGGGAGAGAGGCATTATTGCACTGGGCCAAGACATTATTATAAAGCAGTAACAAGACATTAGGCTATACATTTGTACGCCTACAAACCAAATGTTACTCCAATATCTATGGTTTATTATGGCAAGTGCTCATTTCTCAGACTACTAGGCCTACATCATGCCAACCTGAGTCACATGCAAGTGGCAGAGCAGATGGGAACCAGAAATGGACTGGGGAAGTCCCAAAATGACATCTTGATTAGTCTGTATTCCATTACTTTTTATCCAACATGGACAGGTCTCAAAATATTGTCAAATGTTAAAGTTTATTCTAGTTAAAACTAGAGCTTATTAGTACTTTAAAGTCAACTCAGTTATTGTTGGCCATGATGAGCAATATTGTTGACAAAAGAACCAGCTGCCAAAAAGTATGATCATTTAGCAGCTGACAAAAAACCAATCAAATGTTATTGGTCGCATACACACATTCACATTTTACATGAATATGAATAAAATAGACATTTGAGGTCTAGCATGAAATATGTCCTTAGTTTGCAAACTTTTATAGTTAGAAAAAGCAGTATCTAGCTACATTCTGCTATCATGTTAGCTAGCTACTCACCCTCTGTTCGGCCCTTTGGGGATAAACCACGGCACAACTCCACCAATAACCCCCCAAAACAGAGTCATTACCGACATAGGAATTACAAAACTAAGCTCCGCCATGTCTGTCTTTGGTTATAGAGTTTTAAAAGTAGAAAGAGTAAATTTATGCACTTGACAACGCTACTCGACCTAGAAGTAGCGAACTGCTGCCAGGACACCAGACTAGGAAGTATGGATCACATGACGTCGCCACAGTAAACTGGGCGGGTAGTGGTGCCAAAAGTTGCTCATAAACTGATCCTAGACCAGTCTTTTTGTTGTTGTTGAGGAAACTTGATTCTATGGGGAAATGAATGGAGTTTTTGTGGGGGTTTTTTGGGATAAACGTCGAAAATAAGAAGATCTTGTACCTTTTGTTCTATGAGATAATCGTCATCAGCCAACGTCACTTTTTGTGAATTTTGAAGCATTTATGTAATAAATAAAACAAGCACATAAAGAACACAAAAGGCTTGATAATTCATAAAGGTCATGTTAACTGACTGATATTATTTTATAGAACAACATGTATAAAATATCCTATCCCTGTGTTAACCCTCAGACCTTACTTTCGGCGTTTATGCCAAACCCCTATTCTTTCCCCATAGGAATGGCTAAACGAACCAGAAGTAAAATTAAAACAAAAATAAAGTCAAACCGTATTCAAAAAATCACTAGTCGCGGTCATCAACCACATGGACAGATTATTTGTGTTGTGTAATGTATATGGATACTGTTCTAGTCCTCCAAATGACTTACTTCTAGAGGAAATTTAGGAAATTCTTAAAAGTCTTCTGAAAAAATATCCATCCAATCAGATTATAGTTGGTGGGGATTTTAATATGGTTTATTATGAGACTGATAGATTGCCCCATAGGCCTAACATTGGTGTGAATAAATTGGTGAATTTCTGCCAAAGCCTGGACTTAATTGACATATGGAGAGTTAAAAACCCCTGGAGAGAAACAGTACACATAGTAATAGAGATCGTTCACTACAATCAAGAATTGACTTGTGGGTGATAACCTCTAGTCTTGAGCCCAACACTGTAGAGGTAAAAATACTGCCTGCTGTCCTGACGGATCATGAAGTCATATGGCTGACTGTAAGCATGTGCAGTAATTATGATAAATACTCTGGTGGTTATTGGAAACGGAATAACTAATTGTTATTGCATGATGATTTTAAAAATGTGATTAAGAATCTAATTTCAGTTTACTGGAATTTAGCTACCTCTAATGTAGAATATGGGAAATATTGGGAACTGCTGAAATTTAAAATCCGCTCAGCCTGTATTACTTACAGGAAGCGGCTTGCTTTAAGAATGAGATGTGAGGTATCTGACCTCTCTAAGAAAATTGCTGATATCACAGAGATTGAGCATCTTGATCTTAATGAGAAAGCTAAATTGAATGATTTACAGAATCAACTGGATAGATTTTATGAGGAAAAGGTTAGAGGAGCCTTCATAAGATCCAGAAAACATTGGCTTGATAAGGGCGAAAAGAACAGTACAGTCGTGGTCAAAAGTTTGGAGAATTACACAAATAGTAATTTTCACAAAGTCTGAGCCTCAGTTTTTATGATGGCAATTTGCATATTCTCCAGAATGTTATGAAGAGTGATAAGATTAATTGCAATTAATTGCAAAGTCCCTCTTTGCCATGAAAATGAACTTAATCCCCAAAAAACATTTCCACTGCATTTCCTCCCTGCCACAAAAGGAACAGCTGACATCATGTCAGTGATTCTCTCGTTAACACAGGTGATAATGTTGACAAGGACAAGGCTGGAGATCACTCTGTCATGCTTATCGAGTTAGAATAACAGACTGGAAGCTTTAAAAGGAGGGTGGTGCTTGAAATCACTGTTCTTCCTCTGTTAACCATGGTTACCTGCAAGGAAACACGTGCCGTCATCATTGCTTTGCACAAAAAGGGCTTCACAGGCAAGGATATTGCTGCTAGTAAGATTGCACCTAAATCAACCATTTATCAGATCTTCAAGAACTTCAAGGAGAGAGGTTCAATTGTTGTGAAGAAGGCTTCAGGGCGCCCAAGAAAGTCCAGCAAGCGCCAGGACCGTCTCCTAAAGTTGATTCAGCTGCAGGATCGGGGCACCACCAGTGCAGAGCTTGCTCAGGAATGACAGCAGGCAGGTGTGAGTGCATCTGCATGCTACATGCACAGTGAGGCAAAGACTTTTGGAGGATGGCCTGGTGTCAAGTAGGGCAGCGAGGAAGCCACTTCTCTCCAGGAAAAACATCAGGGACAGACTGATATTCTGCACAAGGTACAGGGATTGGACTGCTGAGGACTGGGGTAAAGTCATTTTCTCTGATGAATCCCCTTTCTGATTGTTTGGGGCATCCAGAAAAAAGCTTGTCCGGAGAAGACAAGGTGAGCGCTACCATCAGTCCTGTGTCATGCCAACAGTAAAGCATCCTGAGACCATTCATGTGTGGGGTTGCTTCTCAGCCAAGGGAGTGGGCTCACTCACAATTTTGCCTAAGAACACAGCCATGAATAAAGAATGGTACCAACACATCCTCAGAGAGCAACTTCTCCCAACCATCCAAGAACAGTTTGGTGACGAACAATGCCTTTTCCAGCATGATGGAGCACCTTGCCATAAGGCAAAAGTGATAACTAAGTGGCTCGGGGAACAAAACATCGACATTTTGGGTCCATGGCCAGGAAACTCCCCAGACCTTAATCCCATTGAGAACTGGACAAACAAAAACCCACAAATTCTGACAAACTCCAAGCATTGATTATGCAAGAATGGGCTGCCTCATCAGTCAGGATGTGGTTCAGAAGTTAATTGACAGCATGCCAGGGCGGATTGCAGAGGTCTTGAAAAAGAAGGGTCAACACTGCAAATATTGACTCTTTGCATAAACGTAATGTAATTGTCAATAAAAGCCATTGACACTTATCGAATGCTTGTAATTATACTTCAGTATACCATAGTAACATTTAAGAAAAAATATCTAAAAACACTGAAGCAGCAGACCAATACTTGTGTCATTCTCAAAACTTTTGACCACGACTGTAGATGCTTTTTAAAATTTGGAAAGAGGACGGGGGAACTCAACACACTTCGGAAATGTAAGATTAATGGGGTAACCTCTGAGGGTAGAGAGTTGTTATCAGATTTACCACTAAGTTTTATGAGAATCTTTACTCCTTAGATAAGTTTGAGTGACTCTAAGGATCTCCTTGATTCTATAGAGAATGTTAACTCGGTTAGTGAAGAATTCAATCGATCTTGTTGTCAAGATTTATCCATTATGGACATCCAATTAGGGGTTGCTCAATTTAAAAAATAACAAGTGATGGATTAACCTCTGAATTTGACAAAAACTTATCTGAAGAAATATCTGAATCTATCAAAAATAAATTGTCCTCATGGTTAGGGAGGAGTGAAGTAGGTATGGTGTTCTTTGGATGCAACTCAGCATTATTTGTCCTCCAAACACAACGAGTTGAGTTTTTACCAAAAAGTTATATTTTGGTTTCATCTGACCATATGACATTCTCCCAATCCTCTTCTGGATCATCCAAATGCACTCTAGCAAACTTCAGACGAGCCTGGACATGTACTGGCTTAAGCAGGGGGACACGTCTGGCACTGCAGGATTTGAGTCCCTGGCGGCATAGTGTGTTACTGATGGTAGGCTTTGTTACTTTTGTCCCAGCTCTCTGCAGGTCATTCACTAGGTCCCACCGTGTGGTTCTGGGATTTTTGCTCACCGTTCTTGTGATCATTTTGACCCCACGGGGTGAGATTTTGCGTGGAGCCCCAGATCGAGGGAGATTATCAGTGGTCTTGTATGTCTTCCATTTCCTAATAATTGCTCCCACAGTTGATTTCTTCAAACCAAGCTGCTTACCTATTGCAGATTCAGTCTTCCCAGCATGGTGCAGGTCTACAATTTTGTTTCTGGTGTCCTTTGAGAGCTCTTTGGTCTTGGCCATAGTGGAGTTTGGAGTGTGACTGTTTGAGGTTGTGGACAGGTGTCTTTTATACTGATAACAAGTTCAAACAGGTGCCATTAATACAGGTAACGAGTGGAGGACAGAGGAGTCTCTTAAAGAAGAAGAAGTTACAGGTCTGTGAGAGCCAGAAATCTTGCTTGTTCGTAGGTGACCAAATACTTATTTTCCACCATAATTTGCAAATAATTTGCAAATAAATTCATTAAAAATCCTACAATGTGATTTTCTGGAGAAAAAAATTCTCAATTTGTCTGTCATAGTTGATGTGTACCTATGATGAAAATTACAGGCCTCTCTCATCTTTTTAAGTGGGAGAACGTGCACAATTGGTGGCTGACTAAATACTTTTTTTCCCCACTGTAGCTTAGTGGTTAAGAGCATTGTGCCAGTAACCGAAAGGTCGCTGGTTCTAATCCCCGAGCCGACTAGGTAAAAATCTGTCTGTGCCCTTGAGCAAGGCACTTAACCCTAATTGCTCCTGTAAGTCGCTCTGGATAAGAGCGTCTGCTAAATTTTTTAAATCCTATCTTTTTTCATCTATTGACATTCCCAAATCCACTTGCTGTACCTTAGATAGGATATTGTACAACTTCATATGGAAAAAGAAGCCACATAAGATAAAAATAGATGTTATCACCAACAGGGTTTGTGATGGCGGTCTAAATGTCTTAGACTTCACTCTCTTTAATCAGATATCAAAAGTAAACTGGGTTAAAAGGTATTTTTTAAATCCTCATAGTTTCTGGAATATTGTACCTCATTTTGTTTTCAGAAGCTGGGAGGGTTTCATATTTTACTACAATGTCCCTTTATTGTGGGTAAACTTCCTGTGAAATTGGCTGCTTTCCACAAGCAGGCTTTAATGTGCTGGGCTTTGCTGTATAAACACAACTTTTCACCTCAATGTTTTATATGGAATAATGGGTCGATATTACATAGAAACAAGATGTTATTTTACCGTAACTGGTTCCCGAAAAACATTGTCCCTGTCAGCCAATTAGTTAGTATTAGTGGGAATCTATTTACACAGAGATAATTTATGGAAAGATACAACTGAGGTTTCAAGCAAGGAATATGACCCTGTTATAAAAGCTAAACCTAATGGGATAAAATCTTTACTTCAGAATAATGCATGTTTTGGAACATCTCCTATTGTAAGTGATATCCAGGTGAATGGCATAGGTTTAATAGATAAGAAATTCATAAAACGTTTATTAAGGGATATTTTATACAGGAATTATATTCCTTGTGCTATATTTTGTTGGGCTTCATCGTTTGATGTAAACTGGCGCCATGCTTGGCTCACTCCACACAAATTTATGGTGACCAATAAAGGAGATCTCCTTTAAGATTATCCATATATTCTACCCGTGTAATAGCTTCATTTCTAAATATATATCTGATGTTACCAGTGAAAAGATTTAATACACAAATCAATTTGAATTTGTTCTGATTTGCATGATTTTTGAATATTTGCATGAAATTGTGTCACCAATTGGATGGAAGCATAGTTTGAGACACCGAACACAGATCCATGATTCTGTCAGTTTTCATACACTATGCACCACATCAGTTTATGCAAAATTAATTGTTACATATTTTAATTATGACCCCAATCGTAGAGAAAACACTTGATAATTAACTTCCAAACCATGATAATGGATGTTTTGTTAAGCCTATTTGTGAAAACATTGGCTTGGAAGTCAGACCATCAACACCATTACCAAATTACACCTGTTCAATGGAGCAGTGCTGTGTTTATATTCAACATGGATGTTACATTTGATTTTCACATTACTCCCAACCAGATTTTGCCTGGTCAAGCAGACTGCTGCACTCACAGTTAATTTCACTTGAAGTGAAACAGAACGTGAACCATCATGCGATCAGGCTGGTTCCACCAGGCTCATCCAGAGTATAAATAGGCAAAACAAGAACATCCCCATACGTGTGACTTGCCCACTGTGCGGTGCTTTACTGTGATACTTCCATTTACGACAGACAATGAAAGATTTTTTACAACAGTTTATTGTAACCAATAGATTTTCACTCTGCCATCTTCTCAATGGTTTCCTCCTTGTATTTGCCCTTCTCCTTTCCGTCAGCGCGGGACTTGGCTTTACGCTCCAGGATCTTTTTGCGATCCTTGTCCAGCTTTAGCCTGGTGATCACGACCTGGCAGGGAAGAGGGAAAGGAGAGATGTGATTGGCACAATCATTTAGAGCAGGAGGAGGATTGGTTCTAGGTCGACTTCCATAAAAACAGTGTGGTGAAAAAAACGGATTAATGAAACAAACTGAATTCCTCTTCATGAAGAAACACTTCTCAGCCACAATACTAGTCTAGCTACACCAGAAGCAGGCCAGGCTTGAGAAGCTAAATTGTGAGTTTCTGCAAAACAGTGGACATCATGTGCAATTCCGCATGCAATCCCAATCAGAAATGACAAAATCATGTCCAGACATAACATGGAGAGCCATTCTATTAGACAAATGAGAAGAGCCCTCTAATTCTACAAAAGACTGGGGGAACCATATCAAATGTATTACTACTAGTAATATCACTGATGTCCAAGACTGGCTGGAGTAAAGTAGGAATGCATTGACCATCACAAACAAGTAACCTAGACTAAAACCTTTTCTTCAGTCTCACACTTGAACATTGATCCTAGGCAATGGCTTACATGTCAGGTAACTGCAGTAAATGCAGTAAGTGGAGCACTAGCAGGTAGTCAATGTTTCTTCCCCAGTACAAAGTATACATTATTGACATTTTAGTCATTTAGCAGATGCTCTTATCCAGAGCGACTTACAGTTAGTGAGTGCATACATTTTTCATACTGGCCCCCCGTGGGAATCGAACCCACAACCCTGGCGTTGCAAGCGCCATGCTCTACCAACTAAGCTACAGTAGGCCTAACATACATGAGGTGCCTGCTGCCATACGACATGTTCAAATCAGCCAAGATATCCAGTGACTTACAGTAAGGCTGACTAGTCAACTAATCTTCCTTCGTAACAGAAAAACACCCATTGCCATGACATCTGAAGGCTGAAACCAGTGGTGAATGGCAAATAACTGTACATTCACTCAGTTTACCCTCACCAGGCACCCTACCGAAACATTTGAACTCAATGAATCGTTCCTTGATTCCACACCTCCTTGTCAAAGTGCATTGGAGAAAGTCAGAGGGCATGAGAAAACATCTAGAAACAGGTGTATTACCATGGCATTTCCAGCAGAAATATGCAATTTTGTAATGTTTTTTTTATTATTATCTCCCAATTGCACAAACTGAACGTGACCCAGGTGTGGTGACCACTGAGCTTGGACACACTGATAAACCTGCATGTAGAAATTCCTACATGTATGCATCACCAACAGGTAGCTGCTGAGCATGGTAGTTCTTTAGATGTGTTAGAGTGAGATTTGTTATGCGTCGCTCCACAACGATACAATAGAAAATACTGATTTAAAAAAAAAAAAAACATTGTGGACCACTCAAATTGAGTTGAGACAAACTATCATTATCAAACATGGTACATACGTCATGTATAATACAGCTATACACATTATGCATAAACAAAAAAGTACACGTGTGTGACTACAGGGAGACGTTAGAGCCTCACCTTGCTCGGGTGGATGCCGACGTGCACGGTGGTTCCGTTGGCCTTCTCTCTCTGCACGCGCTCAATGTAGATTACATACTTCTTCCTGTAGACCTGCACTACCTTGCCAATCTGCTGGCCTTTGTAGTGTCCACGGACAACCTGCACAGCACAAACATGGAAAATATCATTAAAGATGACATCACCCACGTGACAAATCTTAACGTTAATTTGTACTGGTTTGAACTCATGGTGTTAGTTCTGGGCTGACCTGTAATTACAGGGCTGGAGTTATGTACTCCTCACGCACATTAGTAGCAACTAGTAAGCCAACCTCAGAATTAGTTTAAAGTCTGGTGAAACAGCGTGGTTATGGGGTCTTTACCTGGACCTCGTCGTCCTTACGGATGGGCATGGACCTCGCATTGTACTTCTGACGGAGCTCCTTGGAGAGAGGGGAGGACATGATCTTCCTCCGGATGTGTGAGGGGGCATTGAAGTGCCTCTTGCGGTTCTTACGCCTCGAGGATGTCACAAATGGATTCAGCTTCATGTTGATGGCTGCAGTAGACAACATTCAGACTAAAGGGTTAGCATGACCAGCCAGCTCAATCCCAACTTGCTACATGTCAATCATTTGTCGTCTAGGCTACATGTGTTTGTTACCAGTAACCAACACCACAGCATAGCTTATGTACAAAACAAAGCGACAGAGCCAAGAGATTCCCAACCTTAAAGGTAACGTTGGTTCGTTAGCCTTATTAGCGAGCACCTCAAGCAACACAATGTTATTTAGGTCCAGCTAGTTAGCTACATAGCTAGCTGGGTAACGTTAGCTAGGTAGCTAGTCATTTTCAGGATCGCATGTCAATAGCTACAACACCTTGCTAGCTAGACAGGCTATCCACCCAACAACAGAACTAACGTTGAACAATTCAAGGACAATCACAGAGACCACTAGCTACAAGTTTACACACAAATCATCGAGCTGTTATGTACGCGTCACCTCCCTGCTTTCAACATGGCATGGGTACACACAGATAGCATTAGCAACCTTGCTGGGTAACTATGTTTGATGCTGGTCAAGCGCAGTGCACTTCAGTGTTCGCGACATACAAACTACACATTTCAATGCCATGGGATTCCCTAAATATGAAACACTATGCGAACATATCGTGAAATGAATGTTCAGGCCCAGTTCAATTCGTAGCCTGTCTGCCATTCTCTGGAGTTGAACGGGTAGCTAGCAAGCCAGCACCGGTCGAGGGATGCAGATTACGGGACGTTTGATTTAGCAATCAATATAAAATGTGGTTCCAATAGTGATCACTATAGAAAGATACCAGTGGTACCTGACTTTACGCGTACTTTTGGGGACCTACAAAAGTGTATAACATAGGATGGATGTTGATAACTTTGGTGAAAATGTCAACCAGGAATTCTTACCCTGCCAATTACTCCTCTATGACCGGCGGAAAAGAGACTCTCATTGTACTTCCGCTCACATTAGTTCACACATGAGTCCCGCGAGAAGTACACACACAGAATGAGAGTTACTGCTGCTCATACTTTGTAGCTGGAAGTTACATCAATAAAAATAATTCACATTAATCAGAAATGCCTGGATAATAATATACAAATGTGTATGTAGTACATAGACAAATATGAAATGCTTATTTGTTCCTACACGATTGTTATTGTGCTTTGGAGTTTCACATTAGTCAATGGAGTTTATTTTGGCTGTTTATAGATTAGGCCTACAATTTCATGAAAATATTGAAGTCCAGTACGGGACGCCGACGCCAACAAGTGAAAAAGCATATAGTTTCATGGGGAGGCATCGTTTGATGGAACAGTTCCAATGCCTCTCAGAGCATGCTATAGGTTTGTTGTCCGTGTGTGTGTGTGTGTGTGTGTGTGTGTGTGTGTGTGTGTGTGTGTGTGTGTGTGTGTGTGTGTGTGTGTGTGTTTGTCAGGGCGGCCTTTGAACTGTATAGAGGTATACTAGAGTAGAATATGAGCAATATGGATGCTGACCAGGAGATGTCGCCATAAACCATGATGTAATTCACTCAGACCTCTTGGACCTTATAGGAGTTTCCATCTTGACTGTCTCACCCTGATCATCTATTAGATGCTAAATATCACGAGAAGAGACCTAATGCAAACAAACTACACCGAACAAAAATATAAACGCAACATGTAAAGTGTTGGTCCCATGTTTCATGAGCTGAAATAAAAAATCCCAGAAAATTTCCATACGCACAAAAAGCTTATTTCTCTCAAATGTTGTGCACAAATTTGTTTACATCCCTTTTAGTGAGCATTTCTCATTTGCCAAGATAATCCATCCACCTGACAAGTGTGGCATATCAATAAACTGATTAAACAGCGTTATCATTACACAGCTGTACCTTGTGCTGGGGACAATAAAATGCCACTCTAAAATGTGCAGTTTTGTCACACAACACAATGCCACAGATGTCTCAAGTTTTGAGGGAGCGTGCAATTGGCATGCTGACTGCAGGAATGAAATGCATGGCGAGGACGGTTCGAAACAGGCTCCTAGGGGCAGGGCTGAAGTCGTGCAAAGCTATAAAAAAGCCCTTCATTAATGAGAAGCAAAGAAGAGCCAGGCTGAGGTTTGTAAAAGACCATAAGGACTGGAGTAATTTCATTTTCTGCAAATAAACGCTCTAAATGACAATATTTTTATTTGGAATTTGGGAGAAATGTTGTCTGTAGTTTATAGAATAAAACAAAAAGGTTATTTTTTACCCAAACACATACCTATAAATAGTAAAACCAGAGAAACGGATACATTTGCAGTGGTCTCTTAATTTTCCCCCCAGCTGTATATATATGTATCCTGTATCCTAGCCTAAAACCCACGAAGGGCTGAAACACGGTGGTTTTACTTTTAACTATATATAAGTTAGGCTATCAACCTCTGTCCTTAAAGAGTTGCGGAATTTCCTATTCACTTCGCTCTCTAAATTATACTATTATCTAGGCTACTTCGCTTCACTTCGCTCACTAAATTATAAAATTATCTAGGCTATTTAAGAAGAGGGGGCGGGGGACACAGGTTGATTTGAATCACGCCAAGACAAGGCAATTTCCAACACACTACCCCGTACCCTCTCCAGCCCCCTCCCTACCGACTCCCATCAGATAACGGGTAAAAGAGGCGCAACAACCTCCAGTCCTGCCCGCGCCACACGGGATGAAATGACACCATGCAGATGAAAACGTGATGAACACGGAAGCAAAAGGCGCGTTGTCACGGACATCATACTTCTCCGCCGCGCGCTGTTATAACCGGTTAACTGACCATGCTCGGCTCGCGCTGTCTGTCTGTCTGGGTGAAAGTGATGCGGTCATAGCGCGAGCAGTTCCAGCTCGTTCCATCCCTCTCCGGTCTTCGGTCTCTCTCTCGCGGCAGTGCGGATGTGGAGTCAACGCCGGAGCACTGCCTTCTGCTAGCCGGAGAAGAAGATGAAATGTTTTTCCCGTTATCTCCCGTACCTATTCCGCCCTCCCACCACCATCCTGTCTTCCACATGCCACACCGAAGGTAGGTAGAGACTCACCGGGGGCTCTCAGGAGCTGTGTGTGTATGTTGTGGTCAACAAGAGAGGGGAGTTTAGATGTCTAGTATAGATCTCGTTATATGTTGTTGACCATATACTGCCTATAGGCCTGTATGCTTTATCCGTGCTTCTGACCTTAACTGTGTGAGCTGTCATTGTGAGCTGTCATTATGAGCTGTCATATAGGGTCTGTGTCCTGTCTGTGGTTTTATCCTATAGCATGTCGTAGCTTAGTTAGGGCAGGACAACTGACAACACTTTTGAATGCAAACGTGACCACTTACTGTAAAGCAGACCTGGTTCAAATAGGCCTACTTTTGGGCATAATTCCGCCTGGAGTTTGCACGTTTGGGACTGTTCTATTAGCAAACTAAAAGCAAAGCTGAAGTATGGGAAAGTATTAGACATGTGATTTCACGTTGGTTGTGCTCGATAAGTGGATAGAAGTTTAGAACTGATCTGCACCACTGTGACACCAATCCATTCTGAGAAATCTGATCATTCTGAGTAGCCTGATCATTCTGAGTAGCCTGATCATTCTGAGAACTTACTACACCTAAAAGGCCTCCATTTCATTAGAACAGTTTGATGTCTGTGTTTCAATGTTCTCTTGTTAATTTGTCTGGTATTATACAGGGGAATGCCACATTCCATGTGCTTCCTAAAGCAGAGCAGACAGGGCTGTTCTGAATACAGGGCATGGGGAGCGCAGACAGAGCACTGAAGCAGTTGACTTGTTACAGAGGGCAGGTGACCATGTGTGTGTTTGTGTGTGTGTATAGGAGCACTTCAGGGCGCTATAGAGCACAGTGACCACAATTACTGACTTAATACTTACTGACTTACAGAGTTGATTTCCTTGTTTGTGGTAATATGTAGCCTACACATTCTTCACACTATAGTACACATGAGACCTGGTGACTGTGTGTATTCTCTCTCTCTCTCTCTCTCTCTCTCTCTCTCTCTCTCTCTCTCTCTCTCTCTCTCTCTCTCTCTCTCTCTCTCTCTCTCTCTCTCTCTCTCTCTCTCTCTCTCTCTCTCTCTCTCTCTCTCTCTCTCTCATTTCAATTCAATTTAATTTAAGGGGAAAATTGGCATGGGAAAGATATTTTTTACATTGCCAAAGCAAGTGAAATAGATGATAAACAAAAGTGAAATAACCAATAAAAAATAACTGTAAACATTACACTCACAAAAGTTCCAAAAGAATAAAGACATTTCAAATGTCATATTATGTTTATATACAGTGTTATAATGATGTGCAAATAGTTAAAGTACAAAAAGGAAAATAAATAAATATAAATATAGGTTGTATTTACAATTGTGTTTGTTCTTCACTGGTTGCCCTTTTCTTGTGGCAACAGGTCACAAATATTGCTGCTGTGATGGCACACTGTGGTATTTCACCCAATAGATATGGGAGTTTATTAAAATTTGATTTGTTTTCAAATTCTTGGTGGGACTGTGTAATCTGAGGGAAATATGTGTCTCTAATATGGTCACACATTTCGCAGGAGGTTAGGAAGTGCAGCTCAGTGTCCTCTTCATTTTGTGGGCAGTGTGCACATAGCATGTCTTCTCTTGAGAGCCAGGTCTGCCTATGGCGACCTTTCTCAATAGCAAGGCTATGCTCACTGAGTCTGTACATAGTCAAAGCTTTCCTTTAGTTTGGGTCAGTCACAGTGGTCAGGTATTCTGCCACTGTGTACTCTCTGTTTAGGGCCAAATAGCATTCTAGTTTGCTCTGTTTTTTTATTAATTCTTTCCAATGTGTCAAGTAATTCTCTTTTTGTTTTTTCATGATTTGGTTGGGTCTAATTGTGTTGCTGTCCTGGGGCTCTGTGGGGTCTGTGTAGAGTATAGAGACTACGGCCCAGACAGTGATATAGACACCAGGAGCTCCAGAGACTACGGCCCAGACAGTGATATAGACACCAGGAGCTCCAGAGACTACGGCCCAGACAGTGATATAGACACCA